GTCCAACTAAACACTACATTTAAGGAGAGGTCCAACTAAACACAACATTTGAGGGGAGGTCCAGCTAAACACTACATATAAGGAAGGATTCGACCACAAACTGAGCGAAGATGCTTTATTGAAGGGACGAAAGGGAAAACAAAGAACGCCAACTAACCAGAGGGAATAACAGAGAGCGCCAAAGACTTAGATGGAGAAGTAGAGGATGATGAACAACGTAGGAGTGAAGTGGATGAGAGGGGCAAAACTTTCAGAGGGACTTGAACCCAGCAGTAGGTCAATAATAGCTGAGTGTACAGTAACAGTGATGATGATGATGATGATGATGATGATGATGATGATGATGATGATGATGATATGACGACTTTGTTTCGAAATGTCAGAATGTCTCTTTGTCGTGATAGCTTTATTGTAGTTTTTTTTTTTATTTCTTTTTGGCTTTCAGTAAATGTGTCGGACAAGCAATTGGCTCAATGCACGGCAGATGGCTAATTGTGTTTAACAAGTGCACAACGTGACAGCATAATCTGACAGTCAAATGTTAACAAATTCCTCGTTTAATTTTGTCTGTAGATGAGAATAAAAAAAAATAAAAAGAAACCACATTAACTTAGGCAGTCTCTCTCGGGGCAATTTTATCACCATTTTGTCTGCCAGTTCTGTATCGTATCTTAAATTACCTACTTATAAGGGTTCTCACTTACCCAATTCGGGTAATAAATAGTGTACGATCATTTGAGAATCAGGGACATCAATTTCGTAAATCGGTACATATATTATGGACCTGCAGTCATATACCCTCACGCGCACTCCTTGCCACTGTACTATATACTGTGAAGTTTACTGTAATATTGTCGTGGTCTGAAAACTGAACTGAGAAGATTTTGGACATGAAGCCAATCTGTCATAATAATAATAATAATAATAATAATAATAATAATAATAATAATAATAATAATAATAATAATAATAATAATAATAATAATAATAATAATAATAATAATAATAATAATAATAATAATAAAAATAATAATAATAATAATAATAATAATAATAATAATAATAATAATAATAATAATAATAATAATAATAATAATAATAATACATAAACAAATAAAACTATAATAATAACAATGTGAGACGAAGCACAAGACTATAACGTGAAAAATATAATGGAAAACAGACCTATCAAATGTGCCTTACCTTACCTTACCTTACCTTACCTTACCTTACCTTACCTTACCTTACCTTACCTTACCTTACCTTACCGTACCTTACCTTACCTTACCTTGGGAATACCTAACCCATCTAACTACAACATCAGTACTATGGTGTGTGACTAAACCATGTATAAGGGTCATTCCTGTGATATACTTAAGAGAGAAACTTGGATCATAATATTATGAATACATTTGATCACGTGGACACTTGGCCTTGTGTTGACATGTTTACTAAATGCAGTGTATGCTTCTATGGTTATGAGCTGTGAAAGTTACCCAGTGAGTAAATGATATATCACACACACACACACACACACACACACACACACACACACACACACACACACACACACTACCTATACTCCCCTCTCCCTCCCCTCCACTCCAGTCTACTCCCTCCGTCCAGCGAATTAGCCAAAATCCACTTAGGAAAGAGGAAAATTTTCTGAACCTTTCACCACACTGGGAGGAATAACACACTACTCCTACTCCTCTGGCGAAATCTGTGCCACAATATAATCGGGTCATCACGTGTATCAACTGGGCGGAGGGGGGGTAGGGTGGTAGGGGGGAGGGGGGTGGTAGGGTGGTAGAGGGAGAGGAATAATGGGATCAGCGCCACAAAAGCTTAGGGGAAAAGTATTTCGTCCATTATTCCATTCAGATTGAGAGTAAGTGGAAGCGTGGGGCCCTACCATTAGTTTTGGTAGCGAGATAAAAACACTCGACATTTTGTTTACATTCATTAGTTTTGTTTAGCGAGATAAAACTCAGCTGGTCTTATTTTACGCTCTCAAACTGTACACTTCATCTACTACACTCAGGGAAATACCGAGATGAACTGGCCCCTGTGAGGTTAGTTTAGGAGTACTTACCGCTTTAGTACGGTGCTAAAGCCCTCATGATGTCAATAATGATCGTATAAGAGTCATAAGGGTTTTGCTGCAGCGCTCATCACAATCCTTCAGCTAATAGGATATAAAAGCCTGGCTACAGACTCTCCAAGGTTCGCACGGTCAATGGCCCTCGTAAAAGATGATGGAAAAACGCATCTAATTAGTTAACTTAAAGAACTGTATCTAAACTATCAAAAACAAAACAAAGAGAACACTAGATACACTTACTTAACACCAATTAAGAGACAGAAGCTAAAGAAACATGATCTAGTGTCTCCTAACTTCGGCCAAGAAACTAACTAAATAAAGTGGAGCCTATATGTGCATATCCTTTCTATTTTAGCTGCAATCGACAATCTCGGTACAGTTTTACTCCTTCATTTACGAGGAATATTCACCATGAGAGCCCGTACCCCGAGCGTCGACTTGGGACCCCGTAATGGAAAACTGGAAACTCGGATTAATGAGATTATTCAGATAGCATGTGTCACAGACCAGTGTACTGTAAGAGAAAGAGTCTGTTGCTCACACTTTCTATATATCAATACGTTTACCTTTATATACTAATTGGCCTGTGTGTGTGTGTGTGTGTGTGTGTGTGTGTGTGTGTGTGCCGGTGACTCGTAAACCTCATTTTCGATATCCGGGTCGAGGCAGCTGAGCGGGGGTTTGGCAAATAGATATGTTCGTATCAGGTGAAGACAGGAAGGGATAAGTGAAAGAGAGAGAATGAATGAAAGGCAAACAAAGAACGAAAAAAAAAACTATGGCAAAATACTAGTTCGAAAGACGAAGAAAACGGAGAAATAAAGACATAGTGACAAAAAGGAATAATGTAGAGAGAGCGAAATACAGAAGTAAAGGAGAAGAGAGCAGATGTAGATTAATTTTCCATGAGTCTCTTGAGGTTCCAGTGGTCGGTGATCCAGGGGCTGTCATGTAACTGTGTCAACAATACAGTTTTCCTGTTACAGCTGCAGTTCTGCGACCAGTTTCTTGCCTGTCACAAGTTCTACACATAAAAAATAATATGGACAACTAATAACCGAACCGGAAACCAGAATCGAATCCGAACCGAAATTTTGTCTTACTAAAATTCCGTCTTTGTGTTTAATTAATTCGGTTAGGTTAAATTAAATGTAGGTTGGGTGGAAAGTAAGGTTATGTTACGGGGAGGTTTGGTTAGAATAGGTTAGATTAAGTTAGGTTAGGTTATGTTAGGCAACGAGGAACGATCAAAACATTTGCAGATTGGTTATATAATAAAAACGTAGACCTACAATTCGCACGCTACTGTTCAATATACTCTCCCTTGCCTTCAATACACTCATTCCATTTGTCCTTCAAACCCGTTATGCCAGTTTTCTAAAATATTTCGAGTGCTCCTTAAACCACACATCAGTAACAACCTCCTTCAGCCCCTCTACTAGGAAGGATAATTGAATTACTCGAAACCGCAGTCATGAATAGGCATCTGTGTAACATGGGATTAGTGGACCGACACGTTATCGCGGACCAGCAGCACACCTGTAGTCGTCATTGTATCTCCTGGATGACGTCACGCAGTTTTCACATTAAACCCAACACTATACTGTAGTCACTGGTGATCGTTGTTTTATGCAGCAGGTAGTTTGATCAGTAGAATCCCTCTGGCAGCCCATAAAATCGAGTCCACGATCTTTCCGGCAAGGGATTGACTTCTGAACTTATTGGAAATTAGAGAATTCGGCTACGTTCATTTCATGGATTCCATCTTCGATTCGGGGACCCAATGATGAACTCAAGTCTCATCTTGGTTACCAGCCGAAACAAAGAAATTTGGCTGGATCGACTTCATGCAGTTTGGTGTCGACTTTAGGGGAGATAGTCTACTAATCACTTGTGTACGGGGGTCCCCTCTCTGCTGAATAGAATCGTCTGGCGTGAGTCAAATAAAATATTAAAACTGGCATCCCCGTAGTGAAGGGGTTAGCCTCTGAGGTTTCCAGGAACCACCTTACAGAAACCTGAATAATGGTCACAACACTTCCATGTGAACTGACAACATTATTGTTTATTTCATCAACTATGATACGTCGGCCGACTATAACCATGCTCTTGACGTGGGCTACGGTTGCCTCGTGGGTGTTACCTGATGGTCACCCTCACTGATGAACATCCTCGAGGTTGCGTTCCAGTTTGATCGTTGTGTTCCACCTTGCTATAGTAATAATTGGGAGGGCCTCTTGTCATCCTCCCACCACGCGTTGATGAATTTCCCCCGATGTGGAATCTTCTTTAGTCAGGAATTTTATGACACATTAATGCACAAATTTACCAAAGTTAATTTTTTCTAGGTTTCATACTCTAACTCTTGAAACAATTCGTGACATAAAAGTCAAATTACAAACAAATATCCAAGTAGTCAACGTCCAACAAAATTTGAGCTCTGCCTTTTTACTTAACTCCTGAAATGCAAAATCTTTTAAACGCCCCACATGCTTTAGGGGTAGGTTAGGTTAGGTTAGGTTAAGCTAAGTGATGTAAGATAGGTTAGGTTAGATTAGGTTAAGTCAAGTGAGGTAAGATAGGTTAGGTTACGCTCCTGGTCCAAATAATCAGAAAGTCCCGGAATTACCTTTCACCATCTTGCAATTTATTCTTGTAACGCGAAGGTCAACTCGACCCCATCATTATCTTTCGCATCCAACCCGTCTCTTAATGAGCAATTATCATTCTCTCAAACTTGACAGAAATTATCATTCCATTGTCATTCCTCTCAGATCAGCATCTCTTAAGTCTCCCCCTCTCCTTCATCCCTTGCCCTCAACGATAATAATCTCACCATTGTCTCTCCATCCTCCCTCATTTTCTCATTTTTCATTGTCTCTTTCTCTCCTTCCAGGCGAGCCAGTGGAATTCAGGATCAAGGAAGGCAATAAGGAAGGACTCTTCGCCTTGGGCAGCACCAGCGGCCGTCTCACCCTCCTCCAGCCACTGGACTTCGAAGAACAAGAACAGGTGAGAAAAATAAGTGTGTGTGTGTGTGTGTGTGTGTGTGTGTGTGTGTGTGTGTGTGTGTGTGTGTGTGTGTGTGTGTGATACAAACTTTACACTTGCTAGTCGTTTAAATGTAGCCAGTAGCATTTCTCATAATCTCATCCACCTAAACATTTTAACACGTTTATTTTCCTTTATCTTAATGTCCGGCTGAACTTAACAAGTATTCTGCTACTTTTCGCCACATTCCCCGGACGCGTATGTTCATGTGTTCTCTCCTTCCATGCACTCCACAACACGTCTCCTTGTTTCCCTACTCGTCCCCTTTACCTCTGACCTGATCTACGTGTTTGCCCCTACACAGCCCCTTAGAGTGCCCCATTGCCTGTCGTATCTGTCTTATGTGATCTTCCTGGCCCACTATACCTCCCACCTCGTCTGTATCCTCTTGACTTCTTATGTGTCACCTTGATCCTGACCTCCATGACCCCTCTACATTGTTCCCTCTTATGTATCCTCTTGATCTCCAGTGTTTCATTTTGACCTGACCCACTTGTTCCCGTCACATGGTTTATCGCAGCACGAGTTGGTGGTGGAGGCCGGGGCGGGGGAGGCACGCAGTGAGGCGAGGGTGGTGGTGCATGTGGTGGACGAGAACGATCACGCCCCCGCCTTCCCGAGGACGCTACACGAGACACAGATCACTGAAGAGGACGACAGACACCTCCCCAAGACCATACTCACGGTCAGTAGCCTGTCTGTGTCTGTCTCACGTACTAATTAGTGTTCGCCTCCCACACAGTATACAGCTTGTCTTAGAGTCTACCTGTATCTACCTGAGGCACTAATCAGTTCGTCACTCCCACGTTGTTCCTATCTCATGAATACTCTTACCATCCAGTGCTGCTCACACACCTATGTCAGTATATCATGGCACATAATCTACGCGTAGTTTGAATGTCTCTGCATCTAATCTATTTCTGTATTTGTCTTACGATTAGGTTTCATGGCTATATCCTTCCCATCACCGACTTATTTCCTCTTCATTTATCTATTCATATGGTCAAATTGGTCATATATTAATCATATATTAATCACCCTAATAATTTGTTTGGCTTAACTTAATCTAACCTAACCTAACCTAACCTAACCTAACCTAACCTAACCTAACCTAATCTAACCTAATCTAACCTAACCAAACCCTAGCGTTAACGTGTTCAAACATCACCTGAAATAAACCGGTGGGGCTAATCCTCATGCGAGTCTATTACTACTACTTGCAAAATGGTGAAGTAAAAATGTCCGAAGAAAGTGTCTATATCATTTCCAGTTTATAATCACTTCAGTCTCTGTATAAGGAGATGATGTTTCTTCACTGGTTGGATGTTGATGAGCCGCGCCTGTCCACTTAACCACGTAACCTCCCCCCCCCCCCCCCCACCCCCCCTTCAGCATCAAGCATTACACCACCGACACGAAAATATAAACAACATTGGGAAGCTTTTACGACCCACTAGTTTGTACTCAGTTCGCGGGTAAATAGTCCATATAAAGTACTTACGACCCGCTTGTTTGTACTTAAACTGTTTCTGACATAAAAAGTCACTTCTTCGACGTGTTTTATTTTAATGTCTTTCACTTATTTAACCAGCCAAGACTTTCGGTGAAATCTGAAAACCATTACCAGATCGACTATTTTTGGACGACCTAATTAAGCAGTGGTTTGCGGTACACTTTCTCGCCTAAGATGAAGACTCAACCACACGTTATATGAGCAACTGATTTAGGTTTTAATGCTAGTTATCGTGTGACACTAAGCTTGCAGTGAAAGTGGCTTCCATTAACCAAACGGTCTGTTACAGGGACTAGGGATACAGTGTACTGGAAAGTTAGGTACCCAATTAAAACCAGCGACAGTCAGAGCCAGAGGCAAGCATTGTATCCACTCGGCCGCCGAACCCACTAAGTCCGTGGTGAACATCAATAAAAACATGATCATTAGTTTTTGATCTCAGTGTGTCGAGGGAGATAATTCTCAATCTTCTCTTTCGAAGGAATTATTTGTTTTTATGTTTTATATCTAGGTCATAGAAATGATTGTTAGTAATATTTATTTCAGTGAATGGTTTGTTTAACGTAAACAATTCCTCCATTGTTGTAAAGTTTTCCTGTTATCCAAATGGTAATTATATATATATTTATAAGGTCCAGGGTTCGAGTCCTGGCTGGTGAGGTCGTTGATATATATATATATATATATATATATATATATATATATATATATATATATATATATATATATATATATATATATATATATATATATATATATATATATATATATATATCAATTCAAGTCAGCCGTGTATCCTTACACACCATCTCTCCTATCGTCGATTTATTTACATCCCCTCAGCTGTATCAGGAGTGAATAAGAGACAGTAAATTGAGAAGCGTATACTGTAGGACAGTACAGATGCAAGATTTTTCGACACACAAGAAGGAATAGTCGTTGACACTGACCTCAACCGCCACAAGTTTATCGAACTGTAAAGTTGGTAGCCATGCGAATATTCACAGGTAGGTGAACTGGGGCTGCCCTGGACCAGGACCAGAAAGTCTTAGCACAGCAGTTTGTACCTTAAGTAAATTGTAGTATATTTAAGATATTGCGTGAGTACTAATGTAGGTTCCTGAGCCCAGCGATGGTGTGGGTAGTTCTGTCTATCTGCTCCAGTTCCTGATGGAAATGTGTGTGTGTGTGTGTGTGTGTGTTTACAAAACTCACAACAGTACTAAAGGAAACTGACACAGGGAGGAGAAAGATGTGTGCCTGTTGCCGGGCAGACCAGGGAAGGTCAGACTCCCAGAGGGTTAACTTATGGGTGGTTTTCACTGCAGTTCAGCGGCTGGCCATAGTCTGTTACCTCCAGCCTAGTGCAGTAATGATGGTGTAAATTAGAAACAAAAAAGCCAATAATTATATTTATTTTTAGGAGTTTGCTTTCAACGCCGCGAGAGATGCAGATTTTGTGTATTAAAGAAACTCCATTAAATTGTTAACTGGATAAAGTGGTGATCAAGCAAGAAGTTTAAATGTCATGCAAATCCTTTCCCACATAAAATTCTCCGAGTCGATTCCCAATGGCATTCCGTTCTTTATCACTTTATCAAGACTTACGTGGGCAGAATTTCCTGACTCAGCTGAGGAAGCCAACATCCCCCCCCCCCCCGCCGCCGCCGCACACATACACACATCTAGAGCAGGGGTCTGGCTGTCTCCCTTTATATACGCATTTCAAGGGTCAAGTTCCAACCCCAACACCCCTCATCCCACCAGGAACTTGAGTCGAGGACGCAGCTCTCACTTGGAACGCAGCGTGGAGGAGGAGGTGCTCCGCCTTTCATCACTCTCGTTCTATTGTGGGGATGGAAAAATTCCCTCCGAACGTAAGATGTCATCAGGGCGGCAGACCGACAAAAGTCTGCGAAATTATAAGGACTTCAAAGGGGTTGGCAGACACTTATGTTGGCGTTTATGTGTTCAAGAGCACGTCATCAAAGGCAGACGTGGTAGCAAGTAGACAGTGTCCTCGTGGCTATTTTGAAGATGTTGGAGGGGGTGTTCCTTGTCTTAAATCTCTCCTGAGAAATCTCAAGTCTTGTTTTTTTTCCCGTTATTGGCAGATCATATACCTTGGAATATAATGATGCACTCTTCTGGGGCATTCATGTGGGATTCAGTCAGATCTGTCGTGGTGGTGTTGTCTCAATAGTGGTGTTGTCCTATATAAATCTTTTGTGGAAAGCTAAGGTGTCCATCTGCTGGTTCTATTGAGAAACATCAGCAAAGATTATTTTTTAAATGAAACACAATATAATGCGACACAATAAAAAAGCAACACTGTACTTTATTGTCCCCTTGTGAGGTGTCCGCTTCCCTCTTGCCTTCACCTGGGCCGTGGCTTCGCTTTGTGTGGAAATGCCACTATTACGTAACACCTGTCTGTGATGGTTCAGTTTTTTCGTGTATGTATGTATGTATGTATGGGTGTATAAGCATCGGTGTATTTGTGTACGTGTACTTGCGTATTTAAATATAACTCAGAATCGACCGAAGACAAAGCAACTGTACATCTATATAAGTCTGGCAGCTGAGGCGGTGCTGTAGATTCACCTTGAAAGATGACCGATAATAATTACACGTTACCCAACACAGTGTCTCAGGAGATGCGTCAAAATTTTAATATTTTTCAAAAGTACTTTCCACTCTTAAAGGAGATCACTGGGTCGCTAATGCTCTCCCTTACCAAACAAATATAAAAGTTTCAAAAATAAAAATGAATCAAGAGGAAACTTTCTATTAGTGTGATTATATAACGTAGGAAAAAAAAAGCTTTCGTATGGGATTTTATTGGACGAAAAGTCAATATTCCGTTGTAGTGTTGTTTTTTTACTATAGCAAACTGGGCAAATTTAGTTTAAGTCTAGAATAATTAAAGGTGGATGGATTCCCTTGGAGTAGTGGTGAAAGCGACGACCACACACCTCGCTCAGTGTCGCGGGTCACCACAACTAAAGGATACGACGGAGGCTTTGGTATATAAAGCAGGAGGTCACCTAAGCCATTCACACGTTTCCGACCTCTTGGGTTGTTATGCTGACTATAAGAAGCTGCTTGGTGTAGAGAGAGAGAGAGATTGGTTTTACAGAGCGGTGAAGATGGAGAGCCCAAGGATCAAAGAAAGAAAAGTGTAGGGAGAGGGGGAGGATAAGGCACAATTAGAGGGAGTGACACAGATCCTTCCTTTCATTCGTCCTTCTTTGAAACCTCTTCCTACTTGTTTGAAAAAAAAATGTTCCGTCAGAAGTATCTCCTGCAACACTCATGTAACAGTTCACTCCCTCTCTGGCCTCCCTGCCTCCCTGGAGAGTTAACCCCCCCCCCCCTCCAGGCTGAATGACACACAGCTCAAAGACTTACAGAAAAAAATAAAAATACACAAAAAACAAAAGCAAAATTGAGTAACTAAAACTGTGTAGCATCAGAATAATTAAAAACAAAACAATAATAATAGAGAGAAGCTTGTACCATGACCGATACAATATATTACGCAAATAAAAGACATTTAGCGGGGGCACATTTTTCACTCTCTGTCAGACACCAACACTCCCTCTCCCAGCATCTGATACACGTGAAAGTTCTTTTACTATTTTCATCTAGTTTTCACACAAGTTCGTGGAACATTTCTTTATGCCTTCGGATACCTTGTCAGGGTGTGTACCAGGGATTTTCCTGCCAGTTTAGGAACTACTTACATCTCCCCGACTCTGTACTAAAAATTTGGTGTAGAATTTGCATCGTGTTACGGCGATGCTTGAGGCTGTGTAGCGGTGCAGGAGTAACTTCAACTGAACATCTTGTCCGTTTTCTCACAACTGTGTGTTATAACTTCTTTACCTGTTACTTTATAAATTAGTTTCCGGCCCAGATTCTACTTCAAACATTCCAGTTACGCACAGATCCGAGCTAAGTTTTTAAGTCAAGTGAGACAGCTCAGTTCTGATTAACTTAAGACACCTACATAATTTACAACAGACAGACGTCGCTTCTGATATACAATAAACAATATATAAAGTGAGACAGCTGTGTGATGAACGATACACCACTCTCACTAATGAACAAGAAGAGAAGCGAAATATATTAAGACCAGGGAAAAGTTATAAGCATATACTACCTAAACCACGTCTGCAGGGGGGGGGGGGGATACTCTCAGTAGTATAGACATATAAAAGTTTCCGTAATATAGAGGCAGTCTGTAGAGTCACCTCAGAGAACACTAGAGGAACTACATTACTCAACATACCCGGTGACCGCCATCTTTACAAGTAACATACCCGCCACCGCTTCTGTCTTTACTTATATTAAGTATATACCTGGTATCTCTATCTTCAATGTACGGACACCTACTATCTTTAACGTAAATAACCTGAAAAATTATCATTAACATAACTGGCACAACTATTTCTAAGCACCTTTTACGGCAGCACTATCCTCCTGTAACATATCTGACCCCACTACCATAACATAACCTAACCTAACCCACTACCACAACCTAACCTATCCTATCCCACTACCATAACATAACCTAACCTAACCCACTACCTGGTTCCACTACCTGTAAAACTAACCTACCTTTCACCACCATTAATAAGTGAAATCCGTGACACCACTAGCTTCGAGAAACATATCAGGTACACCTTCGTTTTAGGTACTGGTAGAGGAATTGGTTAACATAGACACGAATTACAATACGTTTCTTAATCTAATGCCGAGTCATTGGATTAGTCTACAGTAAATCACGCCCCGTAAAAGATAGACAAAGTAAGTCAAATGTGGGTTGGTATATCCGTAGAGTTTCAGACATATGTTCTAATAGAGAAAAGGACTCTCTCTCTCTCTCTCTCTCACACACACACACACACACACAAACGCACATACACACAGTCATCGATTATAATACCCTCGCCTCTCTGAGTTTGTGTCCTAAAGGCTTGAATATACTAGAGATGCCTTGATGAGGAGGAAAAGAGAGAGAGAGAGAGAGAGAGAGAGAGAGTCAATTTTTTATCACAACCTCCCTCTTCATCTCCGTCCAGTGAGATGAACAAGCATCTCCCTCACCTAAGACTACCCTACTGTCGGAATACCCACCCAGCCTCCCAGCAACAGGTGTTAGTGAGCGTTGACTCTCTCTCTCTCTCTCTCTCTCTCTCTCTCTCTCTCTCTCTCTTCAAATATTTTTTTTTATTCTTTCTCTTTTCCATTGTCTCTCTTCCTTTCTCTGTCTTTCCCTTCCTTTCTTTTTTCTTTCTCTTCCTTTCTCTTTCTTTTTTCTCTCTGTCATCGTGGTTCTTAGTCCCTATAAGGCTTTGCTTCTCTCTCTCTCTCTCTCTAGTAATTCGCTAATGCCCTTTTAACACGGAAAGCGGCTGAATCTCACTGGCAGAACAACGGGTGGCAACAGAACCATCATAAGGAGGTTACCGTTGGATGAGGAAGACAACGGGTGGCAACAGGACCACCATAAGTAGGTTACCGTTGGATGATGGAACAACGGGTGGCAACAGAACCATCATAAGGAGGTTACCGTTGGATGAGGAAGACAACGGGTGGCAACAGGACCACCATAAGTAGGTTACCTATGGATGATGGAAACAACGGGGAACTACATCACCATCGTCGTCATCATCATCGTCATCATCATCATCATCATCTTCATCATCCTCGTCGTCTCCTGAATTAACACTATCATCGTTTCCATCTTCCCTCGTCGTCGGGGCCAGCAGGTGACGGCGCGGGACGGTGACGCTGGACAGTACGGTCACCTCCAGTACTCTCTCTCAGGGGACGGCGTCTACACCAACGGCACCACCCCGTGCTTCGCCGTCGACCCCTCCTCTGGGGCTATACACCTCCTACGGGTGAGTCTTACGTCTTCTCCTGAGTCATACGTCCTCTCCTGCAGATGAGTCCTATGTTCTTTCCTGCAGGTGAGTCCTATGTTGTCTTCTGCAGGTGAGTCCTATGTTCTCTTCTGCAGGTGAGTCCTATGTCCTCTCCTGCAGATGAGTCCTATGTTCTCTTCTGCAGGTGAGTCCTATGTCCTCTCCTGCAGGTGAGTCCTATGTTCTCTTCTGCAGGTGAGTCCTATGTTCTCTTCTGCAGGTGAGTCCTATGTCCTCTCCTGCAGGTGAGTCCTATGTTCTCTTCTGCAGGTGAGTCCTATGTTCTCTTCTGCAGGTGAGTCCTATGTCCTCTTCTGCAGGTGAGTCCTATTTTCTCTTCTGCAGGTGAGTCCTATGTCCTCTCATGCAGGCGAGACCTATGTTCTCTTCTGCAGGTGAGTCCTATGTCCTCTCCTGCAGGTGAGTCCTATGTTCTCTTCTGCAGGTGAGTCCTATGTCCTCTCCTGCAGGTGAGTCCTATGTTCTCTTCTGCAGGTGAGTCCTATGTTCTCTTCTGCAGGTAAGTCCTATGTCCTCTCCTGCAGGTGAGTTCTCTTCTGCAGGTGTCCTATTTCTCTTCTGCAGGTGGTCCTATGTGCAGGTCTATGTTTTTCTTCTGGGTGAGTCTCTTCTGCAGGTGAGTCCTATGTCCTCTCCTGCAGGTGAGTCCTATGTTCTCTTCTGCAGGTGAGTCCTATGTTCTCTTCTGCAGGTGAGTCCTATGTCCTCTCCTGCAGGTGAGTCCTATGTCCTCTTCTGCAGGTGAGTCCTATTTTCTCTTCTGCAGGTGAGTCCTATGTCCTCTCATGCAGGCGAGACCTATGTTCTCTTCTGCAGGTGAGTCCTATGTCCTCTTCTGCAGGTGAATCCTATGTCCTCTTCTGCAGGTGAGTCCTACTTCGTCTCCTACCTTTAAGGGAGCTCCTATAATTTATCTTCTCCTTCTCTTTGGAGTTTTCTTCTTCTCTCTCTCTGGGTGGGGTCCTCTTCCTCTTCTTCCTCCTCCTCTTCTAAATGAATCTTCTCTTCCCCCTCCTAAGCCTCTCTCAAATAAACCTTCTTCTTCTTCCTCCTTCTCTTCCAAATAGATTCTCTTCATCCTCCTCATCCTCCCCGTCCTCCTTCTTCGCCTCCTCTTCCTCCTTCTCCTCCTCCTTCTCCCGTCCTTTCTCTCCTCCTCCCCCCGTCCTTCCTCTACGATCATAAAATTACAGATATATCCTTAGAGTTTTTTATCCACTATTAATGATAGTTATTCAGTATTTACTAAAAAGACAAACTAGAAAAGAAAGGAGAAATAATAGAACAGTATAATCATTTACGCTCATTATTGATAACTCTTTACATGTTGGGGACTAATAGAATGGCTCGTTAGGATAAAAGGTAATGTTACTCTAATAGGTTGTTCTAGCCCATCATGTCATGTTATTAGGAGTTTATCTTACTACACGATCGTAATGTAGTTTGTGTCAGCAGCTGTATCCGCGCCTGACCCCTGTTACTGTTACTCACTGCGCTGTACGAGTTTATTCGTTCTCGTTTAATGTTGATCAAATACATGAATCAACAGCAATAACTGCACGTCTCTTAGTTGTTGTTTTTCAAAGCTGAAATGGTTGCGAAAATGCGAGTGTTGATAATACTAAGCAGAGCAACACACTAGGGTAGAGTGGCGGTAGCGGTACAGCGATTAACTTGTACAATGCTGCGCCACCTTTTCTGTCAGTGACTGAGTGAGTCACTAAAACAAGAAAAACAACAATTAAGAAGGAGTAAAATACAAGAAATATCGAAACTAAAATAGGATATTCTGGTAACGTTTAGTAGGAAGAAACCGTAATATCTCTCTCACTCACATTACTCGTCTCTCACACAGGAGTCGTCAGGATTATCATCAATTATATAATGGCGGGGACGCCTTGATGAGCTAACTGGTGTATCCCGTCCCCGGGATTATTAGGATTATCCAGTTCCACTCACGACTGGCAGAGATCCGCTGCCGTCCACCGCCTGATTGGCAAACGGAATAGATTTTGAAATGGTGATTAATCTAACCCATGTTATGTGAAAATTCAGCCTCGATGCACCAAAACGACAGTTTGTAAGTGATGCAGTTACATATGTACACCATTTTGGAGAACCACGTCATTCCATGTTGCGCTGACAACATGATGTTGATCGCAGAAGACAAGGTGTTGCAGGGTCGGTGAGCAGCCAGGGGTGATATTACGTCGAAACTGTTTGAAGACGTGAGATTCTAGCGAAGATTGAATGTCAAGCTGTGAGCATTAGCTGGATGATGGATCTTAGCTCTGGTCTAGCTGTGTGGGGATAATTTGACTGCTTATATGATTAAATATTAATTAATATAGGGATTTATGCCTTCCAGTGGTTTTCCTACAGTACTTGAGGTTACAGTAGATGGAGGGCTGATTGTAGAAAAACACAGGTTGAAAGGGGTGTTTAAGTTTATAATAAAACATACACAATAGTTTTGGTTTTCCTGGTGGCACAATTCTGTTTCTTTGGCTGCCAAACATCCATCTCGTGTCAAATCATCTCTAACTACATATACTAACTCTCCTTCCTCCCCCTTCACCCCACAGTAGCCCCCTTTCTCTACATTCACCACTCATATTAAACCTTCTCTCTTCTCTCCACAACCCGGCCGCCCACAGCCCCTGGACCGAGACCCACCCCATGGGCGCTCACAGTGGCGACTGCGGGTGCGGGCGACAGACGGGGAGCTGGAGACCACCACCGCCGTCCACGTCAACCTGAAGGACATCAACGACAACCCCCCCTTCTTTCCCGTCCCCGTCGTCAACGCCACCATCTCTGAGAATACGCCCGAGGGTGAGTCACTACCATATTCACACTAATAAGGGTTAGTCACCTCCCTTGTTCACACTAATAAGGGTGAATCACATTCCTTGTTCACACTAATGAGTGTGAGTCACCTCCCTCGTTCACATACCCATGAACAGATTGAATGACAGACAAAGATAAATGACAAAAGATTAGAACAAGGCGGGGAATGGAGTAAGAGAGAGAGAGAGAGAGAGAGAGAGAGAGACAAGGGGTTAAAGAAAAATTAGTTCACATACACACGCAATCACAGTGATCCGATCATGAGGTCTCGCACGCAACTCACGACTTCAGCACGAAACAACCAAAAAACACACACACAGACACACACACACACACACAGACACACACACACACACACACACACACACACACACACACACACCGACCGACCTATGGAAAGGACGTGTTGGTGGTGGCTATGAAATGGTCAGGAGTCATTGTGTTGATATCCCCTCCCCCTTTCACCGGGGTTTATGAGCAAAATTCAAGCGATCAGTGGAAAAGTTGTTCATCAAACTGTGACCTAGAATCATGACTCAGTGAAAAACAGGAGAGAAGTAGAATGACAAATAACAGTGAGCAGAGATGGGAAGAGGAGGAGGAGGAGGAAGAAAAGAAGAAGGGAGAAGAGGGAGAAAAGGAGGAGGAGGAGGAGGAAGAAAGGGAGGAGGAGTATACGACCAGACAAGAATTTCCCGGTACAAAACTCCGCTAACTCCTTGAAGTAAGTCCTCCTTCGGCCCCTGAGATTATTTAACTTCCTAGGACGCGAAATTAAACTGCACTTTCTTATCTAGGAATAAAAAAGAAAAACGACCCCACCCCGGAGATGAAATTCCCAGGTATTTCCATCTCCCTGTGACTAAATTTTGGCCTCCTTCCTCAGTCCTCTTGAAATATACAGGTAGGAACGAATCTCATGACAAACTTCATTTCCCGTTGGCTAAATTTCGTTCAAGTTGTTAGAAAGAAAAAAAAAACTTCTCTCTGGTTCCTCGGAAATCAAAATAGAATCTAAGTGGTTATATCTTTAGGTTCTCCACCATTCTTGGCTCCAACTTCAGTTTTGTTCTTTGGGGAGAAAAAAAAACAGTAGGGAAATATTCAAGCTTTACCATCTCCTTTTAGCTAACTTTCAGTCCAGTTCCTCTGAAGTATAACAAATAAAAAAAACTTTCCAGGTATTTTCATCTCCTGCTGCCCGGCGCTGAGGAGCGAGCAAAGTCAGCTATGTGTATATTTAAAATCGTTAATGCAAATCGGATCATTCTGCAAAATGCATTTATTAGCAGTGGTGCGAGTTAAGTAAATGTGATCAGAGCGTGTCCTTGTTGTTGCTCCCAGTCTTTAAAATGATAATGACGCGAATCCTATTTGTCTTACCATGTTGCATTACAGTCCTCTGAAAATATTATTAAGGTAGAAGTACTCTCTCTCTCTCTCTCTCTCTCTCTCTCTCTCTCTCTCTCTCTCTCCAGTAAATGAGTAATGTGGATTGCGTTCATGGTACAACAACTCTATGGTGACCTCTCGTCCCGCCTGTATAGTAACTACAGGAGTAACTCACTAACTATTGAATGCTAACAACAAGATCAGCACCTGTGTCACCTGCCTCGGTCAATAACACAGTCGCTCATACTGGAAGGCTTCTCATCACAGCAACAACCTCAGCCCCGAGCGTAATATTACCTCTTTGAACAACTTAATTGTCAGAGCGTAGAAATACATTATATCATCAACCCCCATTATTTTATATTTCTTTCAACTAACAACTGAATTTCAACATCTCCCATCTGCTTATGTTTCTTGCTCACGAATAGACAAACATAATCACTTACAGATCGAACCTAATGACCCTTCTTGCACCTGGACTGACGATCTGATAGGATAGTGAAGAATAAATAATGTCCCAGCCTCGGGCGTCTCTTACACATCAATTATCATAAGTTTTAGAAGTTTCTCCAGTATATGAGTTTGTGTGTGTGTGTGTGCGTGTGTGTGTGTGTGTGTGCGTTGTGTGTGTGTGTGTGTGTGTGTGTGTGTGTGTGTGTGTGTGTGTGTGTGTGTGTGTGTGTGTAATACGCATATGTATAACAACATGTGAATTTTTTTTTTATATTACATCTCACGTTCCTTTACAAATATACATAGGTACAAAATTAAGTGTACCTACATATACAGTACATATATAACAGTAAGCATATATATGACGTATATATCCGCCTGTCTACATAACAAACTACATTACGGTACACATATTCTTGATTAAATTCCCCGACTCTTGGTACACACCTTCGCTTACTATAACAGTGAAGGTGCCTCACCATCATACTTCATTACACCTCAGACACGGAGCACATGACCACCATGATTAAAGCTCACTATATTTCACCTTACAGTATGCAGGCGGTGTGTGGGTGTGTCTGTGTGCGTGTGTGTCTGTGTGGGGGAGGGGGGGTGCAGTGTGGGTGTGTCTGTGTGCGTGTGTGTCTGTGTGGGGAGGTGCAGTGTGGGTGTGTCTGTGTGCGTGTGTGTCTGTGTGGGGGAGGGGGGGTGCAGTGTGGGTGTGTCTGTGTCTGCCTTTAGAATTTATAATGTAATTTTTGCAGAGGAATTAGATTATGTAATTCTCAGGACGTCATCTGGCTTTCATTGTGTTATATATGAAGGGAATTAAGTTACATTGTAAATGAATGACGAGGCATATGGTCGCTAATTGAATGAAAATGTTGTGGTGAGAGAGTGGTGGTTGTGGTGGAGATGGTGTTGAGAGAATGGTGGTGGTGGAGATGGTGGTGAGAGAATGGTTGTGGTGGAGATGGTGGTGAGAGAATGGTGGTGATGGAGATGGTGGTGAGAGAATGGTGGTGGTGGAGATGGTGGTGAGAGAATGGTGGTGGTGGTGGAGAAGGTGGTGAGAGAATGATGGTAAGAAAATGGTGGTGAGACTGAAAGTGAGAGAGAGGGTGGTGAGAGAATGGTGAAAAGACACAGACAGACAGACACAAACTGAAAATAATATCCTTATTATCTGAATTCCAACCACATACTGTGAGAGGCTGATGAAATAAAAAATTACTCCGACACTAAACATGATATTTTCGAAATTTATTTGTAAATAAAACACTTATAATCACTCGAGGTCGTCAACACACACACACAGAGTATAGTCTCACCATCGTGTGTCTGTGTGTGTGTGTGTGTGTGTGTGTGTGTGTGTGTGTCTGTGTGTGTGTGTGTCTGTGTGTGTGTGTGTGTGTGTGTGTGTGTGTGTGTGTGTGTGTGTGTGTGTGTGTGTGTGTGTGTGTGTGTGTGTGTGTGTGTGTGTGTTCCTAACCTAACTTAAAAGTAGAGAAACTAAAGGTTATGATCCGTCTTGTGATAAGTGACATACAGCCTCAAATAAGAATATGTCACGGGAGAATTTGACACAAAACCTCGCCGACTGTGGGAGGAGCATTTCATGTGAGGACAGACGTGTCTTTTGTGAGGAGTTAGCAGCTCGAAGTGGGAGCAAAAGGGCGAATGCAGAAAAGAAGGATAAGTTTTAAAGAAATATTTTTGCTAAGTTCAGAAGAATGTGAATCTTTCCAGAGACTCGGCGGGTTATGAACTGAAGCAGTTCATTTGAAGAGGTGAAACTATTATAAGTTGAGTCACTGCCGAGGCGTGACCAATGGTCGAATTTGTGACGGTGACCTTTTAAGGAGGGTAAACCCCTGTGTGAGAGAGGAACAAGGGAGACTGTTTTAAGGGTTAGTGCCACCCGCTCTTAAGGTACTAACTGGTTTTGGACCTCAGGAGACCAGAAACACAATCTAACCAGACGTCCACACAGTAGCAATGGTAACGAGGTTAACCACTCATCTCCTTCCCTGTCAGTTTAGCTTATCATAGTAACAAAAAATATCGCATTTAAATAATTAGACAGGTAAAGCCGGGGAACGGGTGTCCCCCGGGTATGATCAACCCATTGACTTAGCTTTTCAAGGTTTCACTAGGGACCGCATTTTGGGTTAATCAACTTTTCCAGGGACATGAAAAACCTCATTAAGTTCGCCGCCAGAGCCGTGGCTGAGTGCGTAGTGAAGGCAAGGCTCACCTAATTAAATTTTCCTTTACACCTTGTATTCTGAACTCTTTCTCAGACACATTTTTCATCATGTAAAAACGACGTAAAATGCAAATCCTGGAAGCGAGTCTGTGTCTATTAAAATCAAATTGTCTAGAACTTCCCGGTAATAAACTCCTTTTAACACATACTCACTTCTTCGATTACACTGACGAATGTAATTACGTACCATAAATCACTGGGCCGAGGCAAACCTAATTTATTTGGTCTGATTTATATTTGTCCATTCTTTCGCTGGTGTGGTGCACTGGACCACAGGGGCGTCGGTAGCACAAGTATCGGCCACGGACAACGACGACCCCCGCGAGGGCCACAACGCTCGCCTCGTCTACTCCCTAGAGAAGAATGTGATCGATGAGGCGTCAGGGAGACCCATCTTTGCCGTGGACAGCGAGCAGGGGCTCATCACCACAGCGCTTTGTTGTCTCGACAGAGAGAAAACACAGCGCTACGCCATCCAGGTCGTGGCCACAGATGGTGGAGGTCTCAAAGGTGAGAGATGCCAGAAGAACCACTGTGTGTCTTAAAGCACCAATTATAAATTTATAGAGATTTATAGCATATGAATCAGAGTGGTTTAACATAATTAAAATTATTGGCAGGGAATCCTCAACAAAATTGCCTTTATATGTATTACTAAATGTCACGAGAGACTGCCAGCAGTAAATACTATGTTGTTCACCCTGCAGGCACAGGCACGGTCTTGGTGGAGGTGGCTGACGTGAACGACGTACCTCCCAGATTCTCCAAGCCAGAGTGGACGCTGGACGTGTCAGAGAGTCTTACCCCAGACCACGTCCTCGCCACACTCTCCGTCGTCGACCAAGACATCTCAAACAACTTCACCTTCAGGGTCAGTTCACTTAACAACACAAATGAGGCGCAATATACATACAGGGTGTTCCCTTTATATGTGACACATATTGTACATTTACATGAAAAAATCAGTGTTACAGATGAAGCCCTGTAACACAGATATAATAATGTATATACTGTAAATATACAGAAATTTAGTTGAAATACTCGTATAGACAATAAGAATGTGTCAGATATAATGGAAATTGAACACCCTGTATTTATCAGTGTGCCTTATATGTATAATGACTGCCACACAAAACACTTCATGAAATTAAGTAACCAAAATGAATCAAACACTACTGGTAACTAACTACATTAAACAAGATATAAAGAATGTTCTGAATCTAATATTAATGTAAGAATGCTTTATCTTTTTCATTAATAAAATATATATCTATAAATCCATCTATCTACCTATATAGCTAGATAGATATTCAGAGTAAAAAGGGAATGAAGATAAAAACACTGTGATGGGTAGGGTCATATATGTCACTGGGAGCTGTTACGAGTTCTTCCTCCACCTCCCAGCTCAGTTCCCCGAAATACTGCACATGTACAGTATATCTGTATACCTGAGTACAGTACCCATGTCCATACGTTTATTAAAGCCCATCTACCTGTACAGCTGATTACCTGTGTTTTTGTGCACCTTATTACTGACACCTGCATTCCCCTCCTTCCTTCCCCTCCTCCCTCAGGTAGTGCCAGGTAGCGGACGTGGGTGGCAGATGTTCCGTGTAGAAGGCCGGCGGAACGGGGGCCCTGGGGGGGACCTGAGGGCGGTGGCCCCCCTTGACTACGAGAACCCTGACCACCGCCGAGGCTTCCGCTTTAGGGTCCAGGTCACTGATATGGTAAGTAGACTTCTTACTGAGTCTGTGGAGGATCCCGCCCCCCTGGACATCCCCCCCCCCCAATAACAAACCTCTAAAAAACTGCCCCTTGGATAACTGCCCCCCTCCCCCCCGACAGTTGCCCCCATTGATCTATGCCCTCATTGATCACTGCCCACACGTTAACCTCTCCTGGTGGGACAAACTAGTAAAGAATGGGTTTACCAATAACTTATATTAATCATAAAACTAACTAATAGGAAGGAGAAAATAACACAAGAACTCAAGCGTCTACTCTAACTCATTCGTCATGCTCAGATTTCAAGTGTCAATGAAAATCACACTCACCTGCCGTCAGCTGGTGCGTAATATAACCCTGGTACAGTACTTGTGGTGTGCGTGCGTGTGGGTTTATCCGTGCCGTGACATGCTCAGTAACATCTCATTACTGTAACTAACCACTGAATGTGAATGCGGACAGACATAAACAAGCAAAGAGTTAACTAAGAGAATCAAGCAGTAATGGATATAGAAACACACACACACACACACACACACACACACACACACACACACACACACACACACACACACACACACACACACACACACACACACACACACACACACACAAACACACACACACACACACACACACACACACACACACACACACACACACACACTAACCAGGCATCACTGTACCGAGATTATAAGTTGGATGCAAAAGTGTAAATGAGAGAGAGAGAGACATGAATAGAAAAAATTAAATAAGACAAGACAGATAAAGAACAAAAACAAGGTAGCAAAAGGATGAGTGAAGAGAAGAGAAGAGAAGAGATGGCGGTCATTTCTGTTCATTATCACCAATCGATGGTGGTTTGTTTGCTCCCGGTGACAGTAACTGACCCCATTTCACCCGTGGTTTACCTCTACTACACACCAACCTGTGTCAGTCGGCCGAACACCCACCAACACGCCAAAACCTGCTCACCAACTTACTATTTACGCTTTATAAATATCGGGTTTCCAGCAGACTAAAATGGGGGAAAAAAAAACAAAATTAAAGTACTTAGGGAAACGGGAAAAACAAGCAGTCTGTATTATACAATCCAGGCCATCACAATAACAAGGGTCACTGGCATTTTTTTTTAGGGGGGAGGGAGAAGGGGGAGGAGGGGGAAGGGGGAGGTGGGGGAAGGTGGGGGATGGAGAGGGGGAGGTTTTGGGGGAAGTTTCCGGGTTAACCTATATTATTAGATCAGTCTGGTGCCTCAATACTGTACTGTATACCGTTAAAGTTGCTTCACTGAGACCTACAAACTCCCGAGACACCACCAATAGGCAATTTAGTTTGAGCTTTGGTGGCAATCTACTTTATTTTTACTCTGCCTGTGGTGCTAAGGTAAACTGATTATTATTATTATTATTATTATTATTATTATTATTATTATTATTATTATTATTATTATTTTTATTATTATTATTATTGTTATTGTTATTATTATTATTATTATTATTATTATTATTATTATTATTATTATTATTATTATTATTATTATTATTATCGTTTCTCTGCTGTTATAAATGCCATTATGAAAAGAAAACTCAGAAAAGTAAACTATCTCCCCATAACACTTTCTTTATCTCTCTGAAATCATGAACTCTCTCTCTCTCTCTCTCTCTCTCTCTCTCTCTGAAAGCAATGACACTATCCTCGCCTCTTCATGACACCTCTGTGCTCATGAACTCTTACCCATGTAATGAGAAACACAGGCGAGCGAGCAGCCATCAGTCCTGGTGTGGTGTGGCAGGAGGGGGAGGGGGCAGAGAGTAAATAGGAGTTATGACAGATGTTTCCATTAAGCTCGAACCTCACACACACACACACACACACACACACACACACACACACACACACACGAGAGAGAGAGAGAGAGAGAGAGAGACGGTGCAGGAGGAGGAAGCTTGAGTAAGTATTCAAACATTAAGAAGCATCTAGGGAAGTTTCTGCGATCCTTGGTTTCTATGGTAATGCAGCGAGCAAAGGGAAAGGCTACTACTCCCTCTTGGTCTTGGTGGTAGGTTAGGTTTGGTTAGGTTAGGTTAGGTTAGGTTAGGTTAGCGACAGGGTGGTTAATCTTCAGGTGATCACATAATATACTTCAGGGAGTGTTGTTGTTCTCAGGGGATGTGGAGGCCTTCAGGGGATAATGACTGATGACGATGATGATGATGATGATGATGATGATGATGATGATGATGATGATGTTAATGATGATGATGATGATGATGTTTACTAATGATGAAGACAATAATTATGATGGGGATGGTGATAATGAAAGTGAGAAAGATAGTGACTGACGATAATGATAATGATGATGATAATAAGAATAATAGAACGATACCTATGATATAATAATACTGATAAAGACAATAATGATAACGATGACGATGATAACGATGACGACCTATATACTAAAACAGATTCGACCCACCGCCACCACACTCTAACCTCCCTCGTCCTGTAGTGAAGGGAGGGAGACAGTAGTCATTAAGGTCGAAAACAGTAGTACAGTAATTAGAGCAGGAACACAATTTACTCTACTGACAGTCCATAAATTCTCTCCTCCCACCCAGCTGTAACTACTGTATGAAAAATGGCTCCCCCTTTCCCCTAACCTAACCTAACCTCACCTCACCTAATCTAACCTAACCATCCCTAAAAGGCGAGGGAATAACGCTATTTTGTTTACACTTTGCGTTATGTAGAAAACACACACACACACACACACACACACACACACACACACCACACACACACACACACACACACACACACACACACACACACACACACACACACACACACACACACACACACACACACACACACACCACAAGATTGAAAGGTGTACTTCACTCCCGCCTTGTAATCTGCCTCATGTTATTTATGAGTGTAATTTATCGAGATGATCCACCGTGGTCGTTATTACACTGGACCAAGTACAAGGTGTGAGGTATGAGGTACAAGGCAAAGAGTACCAAAGTGTAAGGGATAAGGTGTGAAGTATGAAGTGTAAGGGATAAGATGTTGAAGTATGAGGTACAAGACGAAGAGTATAAGGAATAGTGTAAAATATAAATGATAAGACGTAAAATACAAGGTATAAGGGATTAAGCATAAAGTACAAGGAATAAGGTGGATGATATAAGGTATAAGGAGTAAGATATAATGAAAAAAAGTATTAAGATATCACGTAATAAGTAATCAATTGAGTATAAGGGAAAATGTACAAGATATAAAACAAAGTCACATAGGGTATAAGGTATCAGGTATAAGGTATTAATAAGGCTCTTGTTACCTGGTATGTTCCTCGCTCTCAATCTAACTACAGTAATCTTTGTACCTCTCTCCCTCATCTTTATCAAATTATCTTAACCTCTCAATTATTTTATTCTACTTTCTTTTAATTACATACTTTTAATTACGTGTACTTTGCTTTTATTTGTGCAAAGAAAGATGTTTCATAATGTACGTAATAATTTCAAATTACTTCACCAACATCATCATAATATATTTTCCCCCCCCGTCACCATTTATTTCACTATATATACCCGTTATCACCATTAGTTTCACCACTTGGAATTAGTATCACAATCGCCGTCACCATTTACACCCTATTATCACCATTAAATTCACCATATCCACCTGCTATCACCTGCAATATCCCTACACGCACAGACACTTCTTCACCATCAATTTCACCACTCACATATTGTGTATATAATATCATCGTCACCATCATCATCATCATCACCATAACAAAGTATACCGACTCTACTACCACCATCATTAGTATCACCATACACACACAAACACACACACACACACACACACACACACACACCTACCACCACCATCATCACCACACACCATTAGTATCACCACACCCAACACTCTTCTCTCACCATGCAGGGAGAGTCCGGGTGGCAGGAGAAGTATCACGTTGACGGCACCTGGGTCAACCTACACCTGGTGGACGCCAACGACAACTCACCTGCGTTTAATGAGGACCAGGCTCACCTCACCCTGGCCGAGGACACCCCTGCAGGCACCCACCTCGCCACCTTCACCGCCCACGATATTGACGGGGTGAGATAGATAGATAGATAGATAGATAGATAGATAGATAGATAGATAGATAGATAGATAGATAGATAGATAGATAGATAGATAAATAGATAGATAGATAGATAACTTTCAACCACTACACTGAAAACCAAAGTCTGTCAACACTTCTGCCAATTACGTCAGCACAAATAGTGTAGACATAACACAACTGTCAGTACAAATTTGTAAACAGAACACAACTGTCAGCATAAGTATTTAAGCATAACTCAGTTCTGTCAGAAATAGTATGCAATAAAACAACTTCGTCAGGATCTGTTTGTAAAAATAAAACATTTTGTCTGCACAACTTTTTACAAAACCGCTTTTTAACGCAACACTTTTAAGGGCACTATTTAATATTACAAGAATTAGTCAACATAACACAAAACAAAATAGCCAATACGAGTTTCTCAATATTTCTCTTGTCAACACTATGTCTCAACACTGCATCAACACTATATCTTACTACCACCAATCAACACCATCTGTCAATACCACCTGTCAATAACATCTGTCAGCACTCTCTCAGTACGACCTGTCCACACTCTCTCACTACACCTGTCACCATTATCGCCGGCCAACACTATCACTTAACAGTACACTTTTTATATAAGAATATCGTCATCACAACACAGGAGCTCTCAAGACAACACCATCATCACAAAACTAATACACTGTCAACACAACACCTAGCTGCTCTCTGCTCAGATTCGTGACGCCATTAATGGCTTGAGGAGGAGGATCTCTCTCTCTCTCTCTCTCATTAATAATATACTTAATCAATTTGCATTTGTATATTTGTATGTTAATAACCTCTATTTTAGAACATCACTTTCCCCACTAACCCCGCCACTACCCCACCACTAACCTCGCCAGTAACCCCGCATTACCCACCACCTAATTGTGCCACCTAACTATCACTAATTCCGCCACTACCCCCACCACTTATCCCGCCACTAACCCCACCACAAACCCCACCACTAACCTCGCCAGTAACCCCGTCACTACCCCCACCACTAATTGTGCCACCACCCCCACCACTAATCCCGCCACTAACCCCACCACTAACTCCACCACTAACCCCACCACTCACCCTACCACTAACCCCACCACTAACCCTGCCACTAACCCCGCCACTTCTCCCAGGGAGGTTCGAGCCTGGTTAACTACACTATAGCCCCGGCGAGCGATCCGGGAGGGCGTTTCGGCGTGGACGGGTCGGGCGGGGTGCGACTTGCGGGCGGCCTGGACCGTGAGGCCGCCCATAACCACACGATACTGGTGTGGGCGGTGGACGACGGCGTACCGCCCAGAACTGCCACAGCCACTCTTACTGTGAGTGTCCGGGCAGAGTGATGGGGGCGAAGGGTGAGGGAGCTTAGGGTGAGGGAGGGACAGGTGAGTTGTGAGGGAGGGACAGGTGAGGTATGAGGGAAAGACAGGTGAGTTGTGAGGGAGGGACAGGTGAGGTATGGAGGAGGGACAGGTGAGTTGTGAGGGGAGGGACTGGGTGAGGTATGGGGGAAAGACAGGTGGAGGAAGGAGGGACAGGTGAGGTATGAGGGAAAGAAAGGTGAGGTATGAAGGAGGGACAGGTGAGGTATGAAGGAGAAACAGGTAAGGTAAAAAGGAGGGACAGGTGAGGTATGAGGGAAAGAAAGGTGAGGTATGAAGGAGGGACAGGTGAGGTATGAAGGAGAAACAGGTAAGGTAAAAAGGAGGGACAGGTGAGGTATGAGGGAAAGAAAGGTGAGGTATGAAGGAGGGACAGGTGAGGTATGAAGGAGAAACAGGTAAGGTAAAAAGGAGGGACAGGTGAGGTATGAGGGAAAGAAAGGGTGAGGTATGAAGGAGGGACAGGTGAGGTATGAAGGAGAAACAGGTAAGGTAAAAAGGAGGGACAGGTGAGGTATGAAGGAGAAACAGGTAAGGTAAAAAGGAGGAGACATAGGAAGCATCAACAACATGATAAACCACTCCACTTCTTCAACACTGACCCACAACTCCGACAGGTGAACGTGACAGATGTGAACGACAACCCGCCGTTCCTAGCCGAGCCGCGAGAGGTGCAGGTGGTGGAGAACGCTGACCCGCAGGTGGTGGCCGAGATCAGACTAGGTGACCTGGATGACTGGCGCCAAGGTCACGGGCCGCCCTTCACCATCGCCCTAGACCCCCGCGCTCCACCACACATACGAACAGCTATTAAGGTCAAATTCGACAAAAGTTAGTACAGATTCCTCTTGTTTAGCAAAAAAAATCCAGTATTACACCATATATATATCCGCATTTGAATACCTAAGTTCAAAGCACTATATCACTGCTGAGAATATGTTATCGTTAATTACAAAAGTTAGAAATATGACACTAATACCTTACATATTACTAAGTAAAGCCCCATCAAACAACTTCACACTAGCACAACATGATTATATAGTATACGTATTAAAGGAAATTATTACAGAACACATTTATACTCATAGAAAAGATAATATTCCATTTTAATTGGATTTTTTTTAACATAGCTGCCGATAGATATACCCCCCCCCCCCTCTTATGTCCTCATCATATCTATTTCAACAACCTGATGTGACCGTAAACCATTTTTCAGCGCTATCACATTACGAATTTCATTACATGCATCAAATTCTATAGTGTCGAGGGTCAATAAAGGATAATTGGCAGGGATTTAGTGTAATTAATGCGGATGTGACGTGATAGAGGGATATTAAGGTATAATGATCTATACGGTGGTTTGGGCTGTGATTACTGGACACCTGACACACCTGACTGACACCAATGGTCAACACGCTTCACGCCTTTCATCTTTATTTTGTATTACTTAATCTTGCTCTATTTATTTCATTGAATTACTGTAGTTATTATTTTACATTAATTACTTTTGCTCTATTTATTTTATCTAGTATTATAATGTACACACACACACACACACACACACACACACACACACAAACACACACACACACACACACACACACACACACACACCTTACACTACTCTTTCGTACACCTCATTCATGATGGACAGAGACGTCAGCAGCTGTACAAGACTAGGCGGGATTTCGGCCCAGCAGCAGGTGCTTGCTCGGCTAGTGACTGGCATTCCCTTTCGTTTACTTGGCACTGCTGTTCCTCCGAGACGTGGAGTGCCAGAGGAGGCTTGTGAAGGGCGTTGGTGTGCGGATGGAGGAGGCTAACACTGTCCATGGCAACAACGATCCCTGTGTCTTCCTCTTCCAACTTTTCCTTTACTTTCTTATTCCTCTTCTTCTTCTTCTTCTTCTTCTTCTTCTTCTTCTTCTTCTTGTGATCCATCTACTGGTTTTTTTTGTTTTATAATTTTACTTTCCTTGTTTCTTCTCTGTTGTTAAGTAGTATATTATTTTCTGTCTGTCTGTCTGTCTGTCTCTTAAGTGTTTCCTCCAAATACCTCAAGAACAGTGCAAAGGTCCAGGTGATAAACCACTGGTGTATATCTTGCCCAAACTGACCAAGTGTTGCCAGGATGATGGTTCGTGCAGTGATAATATAGGGGTTTCGGTGATAAAAGTAAACGATGGTTTAAGAAGTCCTCCAGCTCTAACTACAATAATTTACAGTAACAGCATCACTAGTTCGATAATAACCCGGGCGCGGATAAGAGTTAATTTTCCATCTTTTCCTTTTCTCATCATACTTCCTAAGTTCTTCTTCATTTAACCAGTATCACTATTATCATCATTATAGTTCACTGTACACCACCATCCGCTCTCCTAACACCACAGGAGGGGACGAAGGGCGCGGGCTAGGCGTAGTATCTACCAGAACAGCCTTGGACCGTGAGGAGCGGCGCGCCCTCTTGGTGCCACTTGTGGTAGGAGACGACGGGTCACCGCCCCTCTCCACCACCGTCACCCTCACCTTACACGTCGCTGACCTCAACGACAACCCCATGGCTCCCGCCGCCAAGACCATCACCGTCCATACTGTGCAGGTGAGTACCATGGTCTCCCATATGTCACTACTACTGATGATAATAATACGAGCTACAACTACTACAACTACTACTACTACTACTACTACTATTACTACTACTGCTGCTGCTGCTGCTGTTATTATTATTATTAATATTATTATTATTATTATTATTATTATTATTATTATTATTATTATTATTATTAATACACATGTTATTCTACTAAAACAGTTCTAGTATTTTTTACCTCTTATGATAATTAAGAGTGTATCTTAGTGTATGTGTGCGTGTATCTTGGAATATATGTGAGTGTATATCTCAGTAAATATATACAGTATGTCTGCCTAACTCAGGACAACACAATCTCAGTCTCTCTACAACATGATACTGATCCACATTTCTGTCATCATGTATCAGACCATCAACAGAACGACTCCTTACGGCAGCTGTGTGAAACTAAAGCAATATTGACTTAGTGATTGGTGAAGCCACAGAACCATAACGCCACGCACAAACACAAAGAATAGAAATATTATATATATATGAAACAGGAACTGACTCACGCAGGTTTAATCAAGTCCAACAGCGAGCAGGAGACGTAGAAATAATATAAAAAAATGGTAAGAGAATAAAAGGCGAGAGAAGGAAGAAGAGATAAATGAAGAATGATGAGACAGACGCTCACTCTTTACATATACTGAAAACACTATGGGATATGAGACGAGCTAATTGGCTGCCTGGATGTCTGACTAACTGACTGGCTGACTGAGTGAGTGAGTGTGAGGCTGACTGGCTGGCTGAGTGTCTGACTTGTTGACTGACCAGATGGTTAAGCTGGGTGGCTGGGCCCCCAGCAGCAGCTGACACAACTACTCAGACGGCCCGCCTCATTACTTAACCATTTACCACCCGGGCTGCTGGTCGGCCTCTAATATCTCTACTGTAAAGTGTCAAGGCCGAAGACCCACTTATGTTACGTAAAAGGTACAGTGTCAGAGCGGAGGACCACTTATGGTACTTAAATTGTCAAGCAAAGTAAAGTGCAAGGCATCAAGTACCATAAAGTGTGAAGGCGGAAAGACCTACTGAGGTATCGTAAAGTGCCAGTACTGTGTGGTGGGAAGACAGGCAGTAAGAGCCAGTCATATAATTTCACGCTGGTAAACCTTCCCCGCCACCAAGTGTCACAGAGCTGCGGCGAGGAACTTGTGGACGTTTACTGAACATTACCCATGAAGAATGTACGTGGGATGTATTATACGGATGTGAGAATAACAAGTGATGAACATAAGATAAATCAAACATGTGGCCAACGTATTTCTATGTCGTTCAGGAGCCATAACTCAATACCAATATCTAGATCCTCCGGGACATTACTCAACGGAGGAGACATAAAAATAATAACAAGTTAATATCTAAGCACCGTAAGTAAACAATAAGTTTTACATAACCAGAAAAATATATATAACTCGTACGCCTTAATTCTATCTTAATCAGAGAACTTTATCAGAGTCGAGTGTGAGCAGAGAGATCACACAAAAAAGACATTATTATTTGAGTCTGTTTTTCATTTCAGAGAGAGAAACTTGTTGGCTTTGGCTTAGTGATGAAGCGATGATCTACGAGGTATATCAAATGGACGCTGGCCAAGTCATGAGTTGTTGGCAGGTCTATTTTGTGATGGCAGTAATGGTGACGCGGTGTAGTGGTAGTGTGGTGTAGTGGTGGTGACGTGAGTGGTGGTGACGTGGTGTAGTGGTGATGACGTAGTTAGTGGTGGAGGTGAAGTGGTGTAGTGATGATGGAGGTCACGTAGTGTAGTGGTGCTTATGACGTGGTGTGGTGTGGTGTGGTATAGTGGTGGTGATGTGGTGTAGTATAGTGGTGTGGTGTAGTGGTGGTGGTGTGGTGTAGTGGTGGTGACATGGTGTAGTGGTGGTGACGTGGTGTGGCAGGCGATGGTGCAGGAAGACGTGGTGTAGTGGTGGTGGTGTACATGGTGAAGGACGGGCGGTGGTGGCGATGTAGTGTGGTGGTGGTGACATGGTGCAGTGGTGGCGACGGTGGCGACGGTGTGGTGACGTGGTAGTGGTGGCGACGGTGGTGGCGACGTAGTGGTGGTGACGGGTGGTGGTGGTGGTGACATGGTGTAGTGGTGGCGACGTGGTGGTGGTGGCGAGGTAGTGGTGACGTGGTAGTGGTGGTGGTGGTGGTGATGGTGTGGTGACGTAGTGGTGGTGACGTGGTTAGTGATTGTGACGTGGTGGTGGTGGCGGTGTGGTGGTGACATGGTGTAGGTGGCGACGGTGGGTGGTGACGTGGTGTAGTGGTGGTGACGTGGTTAGTGGTGATTGTGACGTGGTGTAGTGGTGGTGGTGGTGGTGACATGGCGTAGTGGTGGTGGTGGTGGTGGTGGTGACGTGGCATGGTATTAGGCGTGATGATGGTGGTGACGTGGTACAGTATGGTGTGGGGATGGTTTTGATGACGTGCTATGGTGAAGTGTTGTAGTGTAGCTATGATGATGTAGTATGGTGGTGAACGGAAGAAGTCACCGGAAAAAAGTCACAGAGAAGAGTCAGAATATAAAAATGTCACAATTTTTGTTTTGAAAAAAGTCACACTTTATATAAATACAATTACGAGGCAAAGTAATAAAACCAAAAATATTTTCAGCAGTTAGGTTAGGTTAGGTTTTCTTTGATCTTTAGAAACTAAACTATACAAAAGTGACGATTTTCGACCTCAAAATATGAAAATCTTTCTAAAATATTATTTGTTTCCTGTCACTTTTTTTTCCTGTACTCGGTGGTGGCGATGAGAGGACGTGATGGTGGTGGTGGTGGTGGTGGTGGTGGTGTTACGGTGGGGGTGGTGTTATGGTGGTGGTGGTGGTGGGTGGTGGTGGTGGTGGTGTTATTGTGGTGTTATGGTGGTGGTGGTGGTAGGTGGTGGTAGAGGCATGGTGGGGTGGTGTTAAGGTAGGTGGTGGTGGTACATGGGTTATGGTGGTGGTGGTGGTGTTACGGTGGGCAAGGTGGTGGTAGTAGTGTGCAGGTGGTGGTGGTAGTGTTGTGGGTGCTGGTGGTGGTGGTGGTGGTAGTTATGGTGGGCTATGGTGTGGTGGTGGTGGTGGTGGTGTTACGGTGGTGTTGCAGTGGTGGTGGTGGTACATGTGGGTGTTATGGTGGTAGGTGGTGGTGGTGGCTATGGTAGTAGGTTGTGGTGGTGGGTGGGAAATGTTATGGAAGTGGTGGTGGTGGTGGGTGGGTGGTGCTGTGATGGCAGAAAGGTTGTGGTGGTAATGGTGGTGGTGGTGGTTGGTGGTGGTGTTATGGTGGTAGTTGTGGTGGCAGGCGGTGGTGGCGGTAGTGGTAGTTGTGGTGGTGGTGTTGTGGTGGTGGTGCGTAATGGTGGTGGGTAGTAGTGTGGTGGTGTTATTGTGGTGTTGGTGGTGTAGTGGTGGTGTAGTGTGGTGGTGGTGGTGGTAGTAGTGTGGTGGTGGCAGTGGTGGTAGTGTTATGTAGATAGTCCTGGTGGTGGTGGTAGTAGTGGTGGTGGTAGTGGTGGTGATAGCCCTGGTGGGTGGTGGTGGTGGTGGTAGTGGTGGTGGTGGTAAAGACAAGCAATAGTAAGAAGCCAGAAGTCTTTTAATCTCAGACGATGAGTGAGAAGAGATGAGAAGAGGAAGAGAAATTGGAAAAGAAGATGAAAGGGAGAGAGATGATAGCGAGAAGAAAGGAGGAGAGGGATAACATGAAGAAAGGTGGGGAGAGGGGAGGATGAAAGCAAGAACGAAAGAAAATGAAAGACAAAGAGGAAGATAAGTTGAAAGAAACAAAGGGAAAGGATGAGAGGGCATAAAGGAGAGAGTGGAAAGAACAAGGGAGGGGATAGAAAGCTGAGATAAAACGTGGGGGGAAGGGAGAATAAAAACTGACCGGGAAAGGAGCAAAATACAATCTGTAGAAGAGGAGAGGAGATGGCAGAGAAAGAAGAGAGAAAGAAAGAAAGGAGAGAAGAGAGAACAGGAAAAACGTAAAGAGACAACAGAGCGTAAGAATTGAGAGAAAAGAGAAACGAGGGAAATAAGGCATAACACGGTAAGAAGAGTAAGGGTAGACAAGGGTGGACATAGACCAAGACATCAGCTCATTCGATTCTGCATAACCTTAGGTGAACCCAAAGTCCCTCGAATACACCTCCTCCCTGCTCCTGGTATCCTCCATGCACCTCCTCCTCCTCCCACTCCCCCCACTCCTCCTCCCACTCCCTGCACCTCCTCCTCCCACACCCCCCACTCCTCCTCCCACTCCCCCCACTCCTCCTCCTGCCTCTCTTGGTGTCGTGTTGCCAAAAGGTCCACATCCAACAGCTGCCTGGTACACTCGAGCAATTATTCCATTGGGGGGGTGACCTTGGCAGACGTAATTAGCTCTCCCCGATTTTTCTCTTTGGTGACCTTCATTCTTAACCAGTGTTTTTCTGAGTGTGTGTGTGTGTGTGTGTGTGTGTGTGTGTGTGTGTGTGTGTGTGTGTGTGTGTATTCACCTTCGGGCCCCCACAAAGGAAATAACAAGTTCAATTTCCCTTATTTCGTGAACTCTTCGGGTCTCTCAATTGATAACTTGATTGATTCGTTTCACCAAGAGAAATATCTCAGCTTAATGTGTCTCACCTCAAAGGGTTTCACACACACTATGTCTCCCCACAGATGCTTAATAAGATCCGCCTCGCGACACGTGTCTCACTCCACAGATCTCAATTAGTGTCTCGGCTTAACTCTCACTCTGAGTATGTCTCACTCAGCATTTATTATCCCTTATTATCTCAGTCAACATGTCTCTGTCTAAAAGAGTGTCTTACGCACCATGTCTCACCCAGCCTGTCTGACCCATCATGGTTCACTCCAAACAACTGCCTCATTTCAAAATACCTCACCTCGCGTGTCCCAACCCAGATGTCGCACCAATACGTCTCACCAATGTGTGTCCTACCGTAAAACGTCTCATCTCGGCAGACTTCAGTGAGTTGATGCCAAGCAGCCCGGTGAAAGCAGCGAAGAGACGGAGACATTTTCAAAGAGAAAGAACAAGTTGAAAATTCAGTCGTGCAAATGTTCTCTCTTTACCGTCGTTGCACAAATTACCCACATTTGAAGGCATTTGTATACACTTTTATTACCCGGCGGACTGTACCAGGGAGGACGGCGACACATACACACACAAGAGAGAGAGAGAGCGAGAGAGAGAGAGAGAGAGAGAGAGAGAGAGAGAGAAAGAGAGAGAGACCAACAAACAAAGACAGACAGAATGAGACAAACACACAGACTGACCAACCAACATACATAGAGACAAACACAAACAAACAAACAAACAAACAAACAAACTAACACAACTACAAAGGCAAAGGAGAAGCATCAGAATCAAGAAGGAAAAAAAAAAGGTGGAGGGAGGATTTAACGAGGAAGTGACTTTTATAGAGAGACAGATAACATGACACTCCTGAGAGGCTACACAGAAACCTTTATTAAAGATGTGAAGAACGACACCGCATAAAATAGCAACTTGCCTATTCTTACCTTGAATGAAACTGGAGATTAGTCTTTGAAATTAAGGAAACGCAGGTTATTGTTTGTTTATGTAATATGTAACGTGTGTAAAATTGTGTAATTGTCATATATTGTGTATTTTAAGAATGTATCGTGTATTAGTCTGTATATTTAGACATTCGGGTGTAATATTGGATCATTAGATGTTATTGTGTATGAAGGTGTTGGTGTGTCGTGTTTTTGTATTTCAAGATGTCTGTATAATTGTGTATTTCAAGGCGTCATTGTGTATGAATTTGCTTCATTTCAAGAGCCTTTTATTAATTATTTCAAGGATTATAATTATTATACTGTATAGTTAAACATTTAAACACTTACACGTGTACACAAGCACCCAAAGACACACACACACACACACACACACACACACCCTCCTACCTTCCCTCACTCCCTCACCTTCCCATCATTTCCTCCTCCACACACAGACTCACTCTCCCTCTCTGACACAACAGCCACAGAGCGCAGATGTACCGCTGGGGAGAGTCTACGTCAGAGACCCGGACGACTGGGATGCAGCGGCCAAGACGTACTCGTGGGGTGTAAGGCGCCACCCGAGCTTCACCCTCAACACCACCACAGGCGACTTGGCCATGAAACCCACCACCAAAGACGGCAGGTGAGGCGGGCTGACTGAACCTTTTAATCCACGGCTTATTTGATTGACTAGTAGCTTGTTTGATTGACTGATGGCTTGTTTGAATGAGTGACGGCTTAGTTGACTGACAGGCGACTTAGTTAAATCATCTTCCTCAAAGGACTAAACCATCGCCCTTTGTTAAACCATCTTCCTTAAAAGGATTTAAACATTTTCCTCAAAGTCTTAAGGTATTAAACCACCTTCCCCAAAGGAGTTAAACCATCATTCCCAAGGGGTTAAATCATCTTCTTCGATAACTTAACCGTTTCAGTACACAATTTGCATTCACATTCCGTACGTCACCACGGCCCAAAAAAGCCCAAAAGCTAAATTTATAAACCATGTATAAATAATTATCTAGCTCAGTATCGGTAATAAAACGGCAGACACCAGTATTTTTCAGAAGGAAGCCTAAAATAGCTATTTAAGCTGCTTTAAAAAAATACACGTAGCTACAGTCCACGAACCTGACGAAAGCTTACTTATGCTGAACTGAATTAAATACATGACGATTATCTTCATCTAAAAAAAAATAGTTTGCATCACCTAAAAAATATATTTGAATTGTACTAAAATATATATAAACGGTATGAATCTTACCTCCATGTGAAAGAGAAACACTACACTACCTCCGTAAACAACATTTTAATTAATTATACTATTAATTAAGCCTACACATTGTGACCTAACCATAAAGAGTGCCAGAAGCCTTGATTTACCTCAGTACCTGTCGTTATCACCGCAGTCCTTTTCCGTTAAATACTGTATTAATAAATTTTCACTCCCTGAACCTATTTATAACTCTTGATGTGAATACCTTAAAACAGCTCCCCATACTAACGATAAGTTATATCAGGTGAAACTGACTCAATGTGTACTTACCTTGTACTGAAGTCTGAACCTGTGAACAAAAAATAAACAAGGATTTAATGAACTCGTTAAATCAACCTCAGCATATATATTTTTTAACCTGGTGCCACAATAAAAATATACCATTTAGGAATAAAATATATTAATGCTACAAGAGAGTAGTGAAGGTGGAGTAGCTTTTAGCCCAACGTGGCACTCAGGGCTGATTAATTAGTGTTTATTATTGTTTACCTGTGTAGTTTCTGATGTATATACCGGTTTATAATCTTTTACATCTAATGCATTCACCTCAAAAAGGTCATTTCATACATGGGTTGTTCCACACACATCGGTTGTTTTCATACAGAGATCATTTTTTACAGCAGCTGCTCACAAATATCATTTCATGCACAAGTCCTATCTGTACACAGGTCGTTTTGCACATGGGTAGTTTTTGTACACAGGGTCATAATATACAGTACACGTCGCATTTTTACACGTGTTGTTTTCATACATAGGATTTGTTCACAGGTTGTTGAACACATGGGAGTCTCGGGTGTTTCCTAACACACTTTGGGTCTCTCCAAATATGATGTTATTATCAATTTTTTGTGGACTATTGTATGATGCTAATCTAGGCGTGATAAGATTAGGTTAGATTAGATTTATTCAAATTTGCCTAAGTCAGCTGAAGTCAGCTTATGGTAACTTAATTTAGTGTACAGCCTGTAATTAAGTAAGGTTTGCTTAGATTAACTTAGGAGAGACTAGGATAATTTACGTTAACTTAGTTTAACCTAGCTTAGGTTTAGGTTAGGTTACATTCAGTTACTTAGAATGTGTGCAACGAACCTACTTATGGTCTTGGTAAATTAAAAGTGTAAAAAACAACCAATGCACGAAATCGATCTTTGTCTGCCCTATGTCATTTTAAAATAAATTCGAGAAAAAAATCGGTCCGAAAAGTCTTAGAAATGTTTATTGTAACATTTCTTTTTACATTTTTTTTTTACACAGGATTTTGGGCATGAATTCGCTTCCCACAATTAAGACGAGAAAAATAAATATTTGTTACGCTTCACATCACTACAGAAGAACATTTTTTTTTTCATTGCAGTACTGAAAACTATCATTCAGTTTTACAGGGAAGAGGGAAAAAACAATCTCTCAGGTGGGAAGACGCCCATAAAACAGCTTTTAACGACGGAGATGTCATCAAATTTTTTCGTTATATAATGGGAAAGAATAGCTTAGGCACTACACCCTTCCCCACCACACCACCCCTATACCCCCCACCCCTCACTCCACCACACCACCCCCACTTCCCCACCTCCACCAACACTACGAACGTTTTATGGGGCTCGCAACCACATTCCTGACATTACCATACACAAGATGCTGGAATGGTCTCTTCTCTCTCTTGTATCTTCTCTTTACTTGTCCTTCTTTCTCATTTTTCCTCTATTTATCTTTCTTTTATCTCTTTTCCTTTTCTCCTTTTCAATTATTTTTATCTCTCCCTTTCTCTCTGTCTCACTCATTCTCTCTATCTCACTCTCTATCTTACTATATTGCCCGAGATGTTGCAGCTAAGGGGTGAGTCAGGGTAAAAAGAGTTTCTCAATTATTGGTTTTATTTCATTTTCTTTGACATCACTTTTTACACGTGGCCTGCTCACTCACTCACTCGCTACTCATCAACGCAATTACTTACTTACTCACTCGTCAATGTACTCACTCACTTACTCCCACACCAATGCACTCACTCACTCACTCCCTCGCCAATGCACTCACTCACTCGCTCACCAATGCACTCACTCACTCACCAATGCACTCACTCACTCACTCACTAATGCACTCACTCACTCACTGAAGAAACTTTCCCAGACTCACTGCACCGGACCTTCTCAGACTAAAAACTGAAGTGAAGTCAACTAACCATAAGTATATCTAGTTGAGTCAGCAGCTCAATAGGCGTGACTTTAGCGCTGACGTGGCCTACCGCTCCCACGCTCACTAAGAAACACAGAAAGATTCTCTTCATGTTGTAGCCGTTGTGTTGTGTTGTCCTCTCTCTCTCTCTCTCTCTCTCTCTCTCTCTCTCTCTCTCTCTCTCTTCATCACCTTTGTCTCTTACCTCTTATCTCCTACCTATCAATCACCTCTCTGTTCATCCCATTAATTAGTCACCTATTACAGCGTCCCTAATCACTTGACCTCCTCATCTCCCCTACAGGTATGACCTCGGATTCAGGGTGAGTGACGCGAGCCAGGGTCAGTCAGGGGTCAAGGCCAACGTGACAGTCGAGGTCAAGTCTCTCAGTCGAAGTGACGTCATAGGGGCCACCCCCCTCACGCTGGCGGCTGATCCCTACCATGTGGTGAAGGATGGAGGAGAGGTAGGTAGGAGAAAGAAAGAAAGAAAGAAAGAAAGAAAGAAAGAAAGAAAGAAAGAAAGAAAGGAGAGAAGGAGGAAGAGAGAGGATGAAAGAATGAAAGGTGTAAAAAGACGAGAAAAGGAGAATAAAAAATATACAGTATAAAGAAAGTGATAAAGAGAAACAACAGAGAGACAGAGATAACAGCACATTAAAAAAATAAAAATAATTTAACCCTCAACGAAGTAAAGAACAACGAGAGCCCTTAACAAGTCATATAAATAAATAAATAAATAAATAACAAATAATACAAAATTCACATTATCCCTCAATGCAAAATGTCAACAAAATCATTTCCTATTTTCTACCGCCCCTAACGTATGGTATGACACTATGTGGATGTCACTGTCTCTTTAAAAATGTCTATTGTAATCTAAACCTAAACCTAGTGTAGTGTTTCTGTGTATATTCCCACACCTAAACCTGTACTGTTATTAATATGTCTAGATAAATTCTCTAAACCCGAGTGTGTGTATGTGACATTTTGCTGTACCTGTATTTCATGTTTCTGTACTGGAGTTTCTGGATAAGCTTTATGATTCTGACTATGTGTGAACTTTATGCATGAATCTTTATTTGTACTGATATTTACGGAGACACTTTTTTAGAATGTGACAGTGACCACCTGGATATTGACCACCTGGATATTGACCACCTGGATATTGTACCTGTAGTTTATACCGTAACCTGAGTCCGGATTTTTTTTTTTAGATCATATATGTATCTTGTTTAGGTTGAGTCAAGGTGTAGTTTTGATGTCATTTTCAAAGCTGTTTCTTTTGTGTTATATAGCCAAATAGATGCGTTTTAAACATCTCTTAATTACGAGGAAAAGTTAAAGTTCGATCCCTTGAGAACCAGAGACCCGGTGTTGAACTGATGACTCGGAGTATACTGGCTGAATCTGAATCTGTGATCTTGGCCACTCTCCAGGAGGGCACGTCTATACTGAGTCAGCTGGTGGTGGCGGCACGGGCGTGGGTACAAAGAAGCAGCAACAGCCCGGGTGTAGGCGTGCAGGTGGTGTCAGTGCACCAACTGGGACGCCAAGCCACCACGTCCACCACCAGTACCACTCTTACCACCAGCACCACGCCCATCAACCCTGCCACCACCACCGCCCCCACACCAACGGCAACGCGAGTTTGGTTAACCTCCTCGGGAGTGGTCAACCTACACCACATTCTCCTGCACCGGAGAGAGGAGGTGAGGCAGCAAGCTCTATGGGCACTAATGTTGACTGAAGTACCTTTTAACGAAATCGTAGATACGTAGTCAAGCTGGGCTGTACAGTGTCAGTATATATAAATTTACATAAGCACATTGGCTTCATATAAATTCTACAAAATAATACAAGTATTCCATACAGTATATGGTTGTTTGTAGTTCTACAACATTTACCGTTGCTCTGACGTACAACGCATCGGTTCTAACGTTTTATCTTTGAGTTCTAACACTGTACTTCCTACCCTAACACTCCCCATCCCACCTGTTACAGCTGGGCCAGGCCGTGGGCGTGAGAATAACGGAGGTCGGTATCGGAGCGTGCGAAGAAGCTGCGCACGGGAAGTGTGAGGGCGGGTGTTGGGCGCGGGCGTCTTTGGGTGGGCAGTTCACTGTGGTGGACGCCAACACCTCAGCGGTGGTGGGGCCGTGGATAGGTGTCAACACAGGCTGTGGCTGCAGTGCGACGACGCCAGAGGACGTCGCCAACATCTGTAGCCCCGACACCTGCCTCAACGGAGGCCGCTGTGTCCCTACTGCCACGGGGATAAGGTAAGTCCTGATACATCTCTTCGTTCAAGAGACACTGTTTATAGGTTTTGTTTTACAATGCTCACCACTAGTTCAAAAGTACACGAGTTTCTCAGCACAAAAAACGTTGCTCATGGGTCTTGGTGACAAACATGATCTGCTGACTGTTAATACAAGCTGCTGCTCAAGTGTTAATGTACCATATTGAAAGAACTATTAATTAAGCTAAAAAGAACGAGAATTCTAAAATGGATAAAAATGACTCACCGAAAACTAAAAAAAAAATAATAATAATAATCTCTTAACCCCAGATGATCATCACGATTGATTTTTCAATCCTAAGTTCTTCAACACCAGTAAATCATCTGAGATTCTCCTAATCCCCCCTCCCCCCACATTACTAAAATATTCTCACATCAGTCATTCGGGAGTGGCTAAACTCATTCAAACTCCCCCCATAGTTCATGCTCTTCCGCCCAAAAAAGGAGTGAAAACGTGAAGTTGGTAATATTGACGATGGCCATTTAAACTTGTGGAAGTACCCATTTCGGCTAGGCTAATCGAGGAGGTGGAAGATCTTCGGAGTGTTGGACCAGGAGACCACCCGCAAGAGGGTCTCCAGGAGTGAGGCCAGGAGATCACAAGCATAGCTCAAGAAAAAAAAGTCCAAAAAATAATCGTAGGCTGTAAAAAGGACACACACGCACGCACACACACACACACACACACACACACACACACACACACACACACACACACACACACACACACACACACACACACATATATGGAGAAGTAAAACGCTTCATATAATGCCACACTCAGTACTTATTTCCTTGTAACTTATTTTGTGGGGCCTTGAGTCAGTACCATCCATCCCGTCGAGGAGTATATGTCAGTGTTGCTCATAACTACATTATTGACTCTCGTGTTCAGTTTAAATATGGGGATAACTGCATCACCTCCTACATCAAGTGAACAGAGATGAAAAAAAAAATCATATATCGTCTCCAATGACAAAATTATTATCCTCTCCCGCATCAAATTAAAACTGAATAGAGATACCCATGAAAAATAGACAATTTCTTCTCCAACACCAAATTAGATTAAATAATATTAACTTACTACAACAACAACATCGATAAAAAAAATTCAACCAAATCTAATAAGACAAAAATAAAATCCACCTTATACCAAATCATAAATGAAAAAAAAATTGCAAGAACAAATTTATCTACATAGTTCATTCGGTACACCTCCTTGACTGCACCATCACCCTGCATGTGAAGAGGCAATAAACAGGCCGTCATAAGGAGAGGCAGAGTTCGCCGGAGAATCGTGCTTCACCACACTCAATCCTGGCCACCAACGTCACCCTGCAGCTCACGCAACCTTAGCCGTCTCGAATGGGTAATTATTTGGCCACTCTACATTTCACGATCTCACTGGTGACAATTGTGGAGAGACAGACAGACAGACAGACAGACAGACAGACAGATAGACAGACAAACAGACAGAGACACAGACAGAAACAGACAGACAGATTAACAACAAATATTGAAAGAGTGGAAAAAATATGAACATAGGCGAATACAACTGAGAGAAAAAGAAAGAAAACATAAGGGATAATAAAAGGTGTCGGATAATATAACTGGAAGAGAATAAAAGATGGATAGAAACGGATGCAGGATATGGGAGACCGAGCAAGAGAAAAATAATGAAGCAGAATATAAAAAAGTGAGGGAAAGGCGACAGAGAAAAACAGATAATGTTGAAAAATATAATGAGACAAATCAATGCCCTGTGTTCCAGTGGGTGAGGCGGCAGCATGCAACAGGACACTTAACCTGAGGATCGTCTACAGGCACTTGACACACCTAAATTGACACCAGCATTAAGTTTCTTCTGGTTAGTAGGCGGTGAGGGGGTTAGGGTGGGGTTATTAGCGTCAATCACTCCCGGTAATAATATAAAAAGCAGAAATAGTTTAAATTAACTTGCCAAAATCACGTCAAACGAGGGTGCTCCTTTTTCATAACGAGTTTTCAGAGAATACGGTCTGCGAAATTTTTACATTATGTTCAGAATCTCAGAGTTTCAAACCATTAAGGGATTTATCAATTCGTTTCATTTTAATATCTAGCGTGGCTGTTAAAGGAAACTGGTTGTCATACGGGGCGTCACGGGTCAAGCCATGGACTCTTCTTGCTTCATGTATGTTATTTACAATACGCGTCCCCTATGGATATTACACTGCTGGATATAACACGCATGCAGAGGTAATGGGACGTCTTTTTATGTGGTCGTATTATTTACCTGACGTTTTAACATTTTCTTTTTCTTTTATAGGTGTATATGTCCCCACGGCACTGAGGGATCCCGGTGCAAGATCCTCAGTAGACAATTCGAGGGCGGCGGGGTAGAAGGAGGCTCTGGAGGAGGAGCGGAGGACAAGAGCAGGGGTGGAGGGTGGGCGTGGGTGCCCTCTGTGCCCTCCTGCGCTGAAATTCACCTGAGCCTCGAGTTTCTCACCCAATCTGAGGACGCTATTCTCCTCTACTCTGGTCCAGATCACCTGCCTCCCACCCCAGAGACCCCTAGTGATGTGGTGGCCCTGGAGCTGAGAGGGGGCCGCCCCTCCCTCCTGCTGGACCTAGGGGCTGGGCCCGCTACCCTCACCCTCAACGCCTCTTACTCCCTCGCTGACCACACCTGGCATAGGCTCGACCTCATCTGGAAGGACGAAGTGAGTATCTCTCACTAAGAGTTGCGCCTGTGTTATTTTTGGAAACTTTAAGTGTCCTTACAGAGGCTCACAGTCTTAGCTTTTATCTGTTCTGCATCCATTCTCACTCGTGCTGTCTCTCACAACATCTATCATCTCTCCCCCCAGCTGGTGGAGATGATCGTGGACCTGTGTTCAGGAGGGAGCATCGACGGGCCACCCACAGCCTCCAAGTACACCGCCCATAACGCCTCTGCCACCCCCACGCCCTCTCCGCCCATCCCACCTGACGCCCACACGTGTCGGGGGGCGGCTAGATTACCCCACGGTGCCCACCTCCTAAATGCCCCCCAACCCCTTCAGGTCGGGGGTCTGGCCCATCCTGCGCCTGCCCATGGGATGTACGGTTGGCCAGAGCCGCTTTTGGCCAGCTCTCTTCACGGCTGTGTCAGGAACCTCAGGATCAACGGGGAGGTGAGTGTATACTTACGTCCCTGTGTCTGTCTATCTATATGTGTGTGTGTGTGTGTGTGTGTGTTTATCTGTCCCTTAGTTATCATGTAAGTATTTTATGCTCTCACCTTGTTACAGTGTTGTGACACGGACCAGTTGACAGCAGCTGGAGACAAATTTTCCCCATAACAGTTCTATAAAGGGGCGGGTTGGCCCTAACACCAAATTGCACCGGGTTTTTTCGCGCATATTTTCAAAAAACATCTAAAAAACTATGATTGTTATGGAAAAACTTTGGGGCCATACACATGAAAAAAGCTATATATTCACGTGGTGCTGTTCCATAAGGTTTTATCCTGTACCTTCCTTTACAAATATTTGGTCGCTGATTTCGTCACCAATCTTCACAACCTTTACCCACATTTGTAGAAAAACAAATTATTATTATTATTATTTTATCTTTTGTTTTTATTTTTCATGGGCAGCTGATATTGCTACAGTTTTGGAGGCTTTTCTATAATACAACTCCGTGTAAACTCCAAAAATAGATTCCTTATAATAATCCACAGTGACCATTACGCACAAGTGTTCTCCCTTCCTATTCTCGCAAAGTTAGAAAGTAAAGTTGATTAAATGAACGATCAATGGTTGTGTTCAGTCATAACCCCCATGATGTACACCTGAGCCACATACGATAAATCACAACTAATTTAAAACTAAGCGAATGACTACCACGGGGTCACTGGCAGAGTTGAAAATAATAGTACTAAACAGTTCAGTCATGACACTTATCGTTTCATCTCAATTATTTAAACAATATTGAAGTCAGTTTAGGTGTTATCTGCACTGTGTATCTGTTATTCAATGGTTCCCTTCAGTGTGTCACATAGATCTAGAACGGTGAGTCTGTTCTACACACTCACTCGTTGCTCCATCATCATCACCATCATCATCATCATCATTCATACAGTGAGTCTCCATTATATATGTCTTCACTATCAGGAGAGCCATGTAATAGTGTATCACTGTATATGTGGCAGGTGTTCCCATTAAACCATATAATCTGTTAAGTTTCATCTACGCTGGTTTATCCATTTTCTTCTGGTTGTGACAGACATTGACTGGACAACATACCATTTTGTCCACAACGTAGTCACGAGGTTTGTTCCGGTTTACCTCAGCAACGGGCACCCCATCGCACAACAATATCAACTAGGAACAATGCATTATCTTTCCTCCTTGGTGTACAGGTGTCCTGGAGAAGGTACAGTAGCCCCAGACATCACCAACACCACTAAACTTACTGTTGCCACACACTGCACATACGAATTTCTCTATGCCAGAGACAATTTCCGGTGTGACAGCTCCATTAACGAGTTCTCGGGAAGTCATTATATATTCTCGATTGTTTTTAACCACACGACAAAAAGGTTTGGTTTTTCAGTAGTGTAGTTCGCAACGATCCTGTATAAGCAGAGCCAGTAAATGCATGGAATCCTGTGAAATCACTAACTATATCAGAATCCATTGTTTAAACCAGTTTCATCCTACGTGTAATTTTGCTGCTGAGGTCGACACCTAGCAATACCGAGTGACGCCAAGTCTTCGAGAAAAACGTTACTCAAGTGATACTCGCGAATATAGTTGTCATAGGAGCAAGTTACAAGTCCATTTGTATATTTTCAAAAACTATTTTTGGCTTTTATAATACTTTAAACGCAATATAGTGGATGTTCTTCAGTTACTCACAAAATTGAATCATTGACATGTAACTTGCACAATATTATTAAGGAAAATATGAAGAAATAATGGATTTTGGGGATTCCACAGACATTTTCGCCATACAAAAACCCATTAAACTAACAAACCTTAAAAACATGAATAATAGTGTCGGAGCTTTGCGACTATGAACACGGATATAATTATACTGTGTGGTAATTACCTAATGTCGCTACAGTCACTGACACATTTAGACAACGTGCACTACTAACATTAACAACACCAGTACGGTCCTATATTGCCGACTCACTTCCCTGTTCTCCCGTACACACGCACCTCATACCTCTCCACGTTATAGTCACACAGTCGCTTACTCAGTGTTTAAGTATATGTACGTACATGGATATTTTGTATTGATAAAGATCTAACAACGTCTCTTTAACCTGTGGTAAACTCTATTCTGTGTCGTACTCAACTAATGTGTGTGTGTTTGTGGTCCCTCCCCCTACGCCTTCACGTCGTCTCCCCAGTTAGTAGACCTGGGCAGGGACGTCCTCAGTCATCGCAGTGTCCCAGGGTGTCCCTCCGTCGAATGCACGTCCAGCGGCCTTAACTGCGGCGTCCACGGCAGGTAAGTCGTGACACTGCCCCCCCCCCCTCTTCTTCTTCTCTCAACCGTTTACATCCTCCCAGTCCCCAGCAGTATGGGTAGAGCAGGTGCCTCCAGCCTCACTAGATTCAAAGACATATATACAGTATACACCCTCAGAGTGGGAATGTAATCCTCAAATAATCAAAACGCATTTCTCTCACGCCTTCCTACCTCTCCATCTATCTTCCTCAACCTAACCCTCCACTTACCTCATCGCCCTCCCTTCCGTTTCCTCATTCCCCTCTCTCCCTTTTCCTGCCCACCTTTCACTTCTGTTTCTTCCTTCAGTCCCCTCTCCCTTTCCCTTCCTACGTACCTCTTCATCCTGCTTTCCCCTTTCCTCCTCCCTGTTTCTCACTCCCGGCAACAGTAACTTTTGGGTTTGTGTAGAGTTGAGAGGTGTTCGCCAGGGGAGGGTGAGCCTTGTGTACACACCAACTGCCTCTGACAGCACCACAATAAAAAAACATCGCCCACGGAGTCCATACATGAAGTTGCAGGGGTTATTCTTTTCCATGTATTAATACCATATCTGTTGTTACCTGAACACACACACACACACACACACACCAATTACTGAATCTGTCATGAAGTTTGCCACGAAGAAACTGAGATACTCTACCTGCCAAACTGAACAAACTTCCACATAATCGTAAAAAAATATCTGAGCCTTTAGAGAAAGTCCATCCCACGGTAAATCCACCTACGATAAAATGAGAATTCCTCCCACACCAAAACGAACCTTGACGGGAATGAATCTGTTAACGATACTATCAACTGGTCTTGTTAAAAAATATTCATCAAAGTCTTGCTAATAGTTAACACATTGGTCGCTACCCGTGTGTAGGGTCTATGTTTAGTCTGGTGGGATAGTAATGCATTTCTAAACGCTAAAACAAGACTGCAAAGATGATTGTCATTAGTCTACCTGTCATTTTCTTTTTCAAAATATTGTTTCCGATAATAGGGAATAATTAAGGAATAAAGCGTGATTCCATGCTCGCCCAGGCTACTACAGTAAGCCACCCTTAAAATAACCCCAGGAACGTTGTGTTCCCTCAGCACGAAGTTGTAGACTTTACGATGAGCCGTCTCCCCTCGTCCACATAAGAGGATCATTTTCCGAGTGACGAAGGCCAGGACTTGATTCCTACAAGCTCTTTAAGCGGTCAGTAAGCCGAGTTTCCGGAGCAGGAGTCAAGCTTAAGTCAGCAAAGTTAACCAACTCAACTCTGTCCACTATAAGAGCGGCAACATCCTTATAAAAGAAGCCATCATAAAGTGTCTCTCGCTTCCCCATACTGCTCTAGGTACATATTATTTTCCTTTACGGATCAAAATTACCATAAAGACTACAGTAATAACACTGACATCGTAAACTCCCCAACAGTATAAATATAAACAGCTTCCACAGATATATAAACTCCCATAAAGAGATGGATAACTATACAAACCGTCGCTCAGTTAGGTATTATTGATGAGTTAAGTAAATGTATACACAAACTACTTCCTCAACACCAAAACAGTGATAGGTGTAATAACTATTGACCCTGTTTCTGATGTTCTTGAAAGTAACTATTTTAGATGCTACTACTTGACCCTGGGACTGAGGAGCACCACATTTTACCTCCACAGATGCCAGGGGTCTCCGAGTCACCTGAGGTGTGAGTGCATACCAGGATGGGCGGGGCAGGACTGTGCCACGCCCACCACGCCCACGTCCTTCCTGGTAAACAGCTACGTAAAGTTGGCTCTCTCCTTCACCCCCCTGGCTTACACCACCACCATCCACCTCAGGTAAGTCTCCCATACTAAAATTTCCTTATGTTTAGCAATTTACCGGTATATTTTCCTCAGGTTCCATGAAGGAGCGCTACCACAGGCATAAAACGTCAGGCTTATCTCAACAGACGTATACCGTAGGGAGCGCCAGGTGTGGGAGCGGTAGTTTCATGTTACCGGTCTTTATTTTTGTGTATTTGTTTACTTCTGTGGTTGTATGAGAATGTATCTCTTATTAGCTATTCTATATAAACATATCTATATATATTTTGTTTTTATCCTAAGTGTGAGTCATCGGCCCGGGAGCATATTCTTTTATAATAACAATCAATTGATCTACTGTCATAATTTTATACGTAGATATGCATGTCATCAATCCTGTCAGGCTGTGTATATATAATTAAAAGTTCATATTATTATTCATCTCTGTGTCCGCACACTCACAAACACGGGCTAAGTATTTGTATATCCATAAACACCAAAATAAAGAACATTCCGTGTGTCAACCGTGATGAAGGACAGGAAAACCAGAAAGGCAATATTTCGCCACCTGGGAAGTATCAGGAGGAGGCGGAAGTTTTGTTGACACTAAGGGAGGAATATGGAAAAATAAAACTTTTGTGTGTGAGGTATCCCATTGTAAGCCAGGTGGTTGGGGAGGCCAGGTGTAACCACATCCAAGTGGTGGGGAGCTTTATCTCTCTGCTGTGTATAAATATAAATAATATATATATATATATATATATATATATATATATATATATATATATATATATATATATATATATATATATATATATATATATATATATATTTCTGTGTGTGTGTGAGCGTGTGTACGTATGAAAACATATATAAATGTCCATGCCATATTTACATAAATACGCACATGCATAAATGTACATATATTGTAGAAGGCATGAGAGTTGTTATATGCAGCGAGGCCGCCATTAATACTGCGGTGTTATCATGACTAGTGAACCCCAGCACAGCCACCAAGACGCCTGTGTTGTACCCATCTCTCTCTCTCTCTCTCTCTCTCTCTCTCTCTCTCTCTCTCACTACAGGGCCCTCAGATGTAGAGATAAAGTTCTACAGTCTAAATTTCCCCCAGCATGACCGACTCGGAGGACAGAGTTAGTGACGACCTCGTTGTCCTCCGAACAACCTCCTCACCTGATAACGCTTCTACTCTTTTCTTTTTTCTCCTTCATGAAGAATTGAGAGACGACGACACGAGACAAAGATAGAAGAGATGGTTAATAGATTCCATACTCAGTAGACGACGTTTTCCTTGTGTAGATTTTCCTCAGTTTGTCTTCAACTTTAGTTCACTTCATAAAGTTTCACATTACATGAAGTTATTTTCCTCCCATCTCTTCGCTTCGGGATTCACCATGAGGAGAAATCACCATTTGAATATTTTCCTCACTGCATCCTCACCTCACAATGGCTTTCCTCACTCCGTTCCCGTCTCATATTATTTCCCTTACTATACCTTTTTGCTTACAATAAATTTTCCTCGCTGTTACCTCACCTCACAGTATTTTTTTCCACTGTGCCCTGTCCTCATAATATTTTCCTCGTCCTCTCCTCACCTTAGCTCCACCATGTCAAGTTTTCCCGTGTCAATAAAATTTCCTCGCTAAGTCCACACACCTAATGATTTTCCTCGCTAAGTCCACACACCTAATGATTTTCCTCGCTCAGTCCACACACCTAATGATTTTCCTCGCTAAGTCCACACACCTAATGATTTTCCTCGCTAAGTCCACACAACTTCCTAGTATTTTTCCTCGCTAAGTCCATACATCCCCTAATGATTTTCCTCGCTAAGTCCACACACCTAATGGTTTTCCTCGGTTAATCCACGAGTCATTATTTTCCCCTGTGTCTTCACCCCAGGTTCCGTACATGGAGGAGGAAAGGGGAGCTGGTGGTACTGTCGTCACAACACGGGAGGGACACGTTCGCGGTGCAGCTGATCCAGGGGCGCCTCTGTGTCGTGCTCCAGCTGCATCCTGATCCACCCAGATCCCTCTGTCTCACACGCGCCCAGCTCACTGACGGCCGCTGGCACTCCGTCACTGCCTCAAGGTACTGTCTTAAGTGTCTTGGTGTGGAGGGAGGGGTTACAGGTACCGTCACTGTCTCAAGGTACTGTCTTAAGTGTCTTGGTGTGAAGGGAGGGATTTACAGGTACCGTCACTGTCTCAAGGTACTGTCTTAAGTGTCCTGGTGTGAAGGGAGGGATTTACAGGTACCGTCACTGTCTCAAGGTACTGTCTTAAGTGTCTTGGTGTGAAGGGAGGGGTTACAGGTACCGTCACTGTCTCAAGGTACTGTCTTAAGTGTCCTGGTGTGAAGGGAGGGGTTGGCAGGTACCGTCACTGTCTCAAGGTACTGTCTTAAGTGTCTTGGTGTGAAGGGAGGGGTTACAGGTACCGTCACTGTCTCAAGGTACTGTCTTAAGTGTCCTGGTGTGAAGGGAGGGGTTACAGGTACCGTCACTGTCTCAAGGTACTGTCTTAAGTGTCTTGGTGTGAAGGGAGGGGTTACAGGTACCGTCACTGTCTCAAGGTACTGTCTTAAGTGTCTTGGTGTGTTACAGGGTGTCAGGAACAGGGTTACAGGTACCGTCACTGTCTCAAGGTACTGTCTTAAGTGTCTTGGTGTGAAGGGAGGGGTTACAGGTACCGTCACTGTCTCAAGGTACTGTCTTAAGTGTCCTGGTGTGAAGGGAGGGGTTACAGGTACCGTCACTGTCTCAAGGTACTGTCTTAAGTGTCTTGGTGTGAAGGGAGGGGTTACAGGTACCGTCACTGTCTCAAGGTACTGTCTTAAGTGTCTTGGTGTGAAGGGAGGGGTTACAGGTATCGTCACTGTCTGAAGCTGTATCTGCTGACTTATGCAATCATCACTGCCTCATCAGGGTGTAGTCAGTATCTACAGGTAGAGAGGTTACCATAGAAAAACATCAATGTCACACCACTAAGGTAACATCAAGAGACTTCAAGCATCGTTTTCCTACCCTCATCACGACACAATGATCATGGCTTGTGAGTGAATTTGTTAGCATTGTACAGTACTCTAGCCCTACATGACCTCCCACAACTCACACTCCCCGAGGCCAGAGGACAAACGCAGTAATAATAGGCTGAGTTAATCTGTCATTTTCTCTCTTATGTTTTATTTGTGTGTCGCTGAACCATCATTAAGGCTTACTTTTGTCTCTTGTCCCCGATTAATTACGATATTGCCTGAAGTCATGTTAATTGTGGCTATTTTACTGTTAACTATTACTTCCAGTATTTGTTACTTTTCCCATAATCAAATAGAACACATTCAGGTTAACTTAAGAAACATTGCTGAGTGGTAATAATGTTCTCCTCTTGAATGCTCTCAGAAAAACGTGTGGTTTCTTAATTCAAAATATAAATGAAGCACTCTGGCAAGATACACACAGGTGCCTGGAGAGCACTTTCATTCTGCTAAACTAAAAACTGTAAGGTGAATTTTTGTGCGTCTCTACCAGCAGAGAAACTCCATTCTTAATTGTCTCACCAGTAGCGTTACGATATTTCCCTTAAGAACGTTTCTTTAGACAAAATATCAATAAAAATCTAAAAATTTGATTCAGCACAATATGGTTAGGTTAATGTTGTATATAAAGGTAGTATAAGTCTTTTAACTGGTTAATACTGTATACTGTCAAATAGATAAGAAATAGAAAGACAGAAAGATAAGTTGTCAATTAGCATTCACAGCAGAAATTTACTGATTATTATCGCAGACACAATTTGCCCAGTTCTCAAAATCATATGGAGACCTGTCGTGTAATGGTTAGCCTGCTCGCCTCGTTAGCAATTGCACCAGGGTTCGATCCCAGGGCAGGGTGAAACTATAGACAAGTTTCTTAACGTCTACTGTAGATGTTAATTGATTTGCGGATCGAGTCCCGGGCTAATGGTTAGCCAGTGCAGTTGGCGAATTGCCCTGTCTTTTCGGACTATTCCTTGACAACGGGTCATGCAACTCTTTAACTAGGGTGTGGTTGTTGAGTTGGCGACAGCTTCTACACCTTAAAAAAATTCATGCCTAGGTGGTCCTAGGCCTCGAACACGAGGGACAACCATTATTATACGAGTATTGTATGTATGTATGTATGTATGTATGTATGTATGTATTCAGAAATCTTAAGATATTTTCTTGAGAAAAAGGTAAAGAAAGAAGACTATACAAACATAGGTTGAGAAAACCGTAGAGGTCGACCTACATCACGAGACATAAAATACAGTGTGATACATTTTCTTCAATTTTAAATAAATATAGGAAATTCTTTTCTACTTCCTGTAAGCCTCAGCGCCTCACCCAGTGATTGTCAAGCGACTGTTTGACACACTCAAATATTCTCGGAGTCTTAGGATCATTTTGCAATTGTCTCGAACTCGTTCTTAACGTGGTGTAGATGGTAGAGTGACTCTAGAGTAATGTAGATGATAGTGTAGTAGATGCAGGGTAGGGGTAGACGATAGTGTACTGGATGTAATGTAGACGATAGTGTAATAGATGCAGGGTATAGTGGATGTAGTTTTGATTGTGTAGTGATTACACTGTAGCTGATTACACACACACACACACACACACACACACACACACACACACACACACACACCACACCACCTCTGGTTGATTTTCTTTAGGAGACCTTTCTTCTCAGAAATAAGAATAAGAGTCATTCCCGGAAAATTGGGATCATTTTCCCTGAACCGTGAGTAGGTATTGTATTCTCCTACCCTCCCGGTTGTGTTGTGCTGGGATATATATATATATATATATATATATATATATATATATGATATGCATATAATAATAACAAACCTATAAATACACATATACGAATTATATATAAATAACAATAATATCAACCTAACTAACCTAACCTAACCTAACCTAACCTAACGTAACCTAACCCAACCCAACCTAAATTAGATATGGGATGATAAGGTTGAGATAGCAATGGACGTCTCATATAAAAAGAGTCAATTTCGCCATACCATAATCTTCCTTCTATGGAACTATCACCCTAAGAGAGTACCCCCCCTCTATTCGTCAAGACACATCACCGTTTTAAAGGTCAATAAAGCTGGAGATATTTCCATATTTCAGCCATTGTGTTGAAGGGAAACTCGCTTAGGGACTTGACCCAGTAGTTGACTCTCAAACCTCCCTTCTTTTTAGGAATACTATTTCTTTCTCTCTCCGGATATTTGTCATCTTCATTTTGTGTTTATCATCTCTCTCTCTTCCGTTTGTTCTTTCAAAATTATCCACCGTACTTCTTTATCAATTATTTAATCCCTTTTCTCAGCTTTCTCTTCCACATTTTCTTGGTTTTCTTTTCCGCATTTTCTTAGCTTTCTTTTCAGCATTTTCTTAGCTTTCTGTTCCGCTTTTTCTTAGCTTTCTTCCGCGTTTTCTTCGCTTTCTCTTCCACGGATTTTTTCACTCTTATCCTCCGATTTCTTTCTTCTGGTGACTTGAGAAAAAATAGCTTGCATAGAACATTGTTATTGTGATCACATATATGAGTTTTTCTTCTTTCTACGTTATAAAGTGTACGAATAAATAAGAAATGACTTGAACATTATTTATCAGATTCATATAAATTTCACGCACCATCAGCAAGACAGCCGTGCACACTTAACTTCATTACCAGATTAAAGTGGGTCAATTATTACTGTACTTGTTCGTGGCTTACTGAACTTCAAGAGAGAGAGAGAGAGAGAGAGAGAGAGAGAGAGAGAGAGAGAGAGAGAGAGAGAGAGAGGTCACAATTATGACCCCGTTCTGTGCCCTCGTCAATAACTAGCTTTCCACGCTTTTAATCGCCGTAGTTAAGAAGGTAAATATCTGTCAATAGTGATAATGTTATGATATTCCTGGGACGGGGGGGGGGGAAGGGGGATAAAACTGTGTAACTTGAGGAGTCAAGATGTTCGTCACAGTGAGTTTTAACAAAGGGTCAAGTTTTAGTCCTCTCCTGACCAACTCTCTGCACCCTGTCGTAAGCCTCTTCCATAATGCTGTAAACTTTAAGCCTCTTTCTTCACGATCTGACGCTTGATTTCACTCTCACTACCCATCAAAGAATCAATGACTGTGTTAGTAAACTTTTTACTTGTGTTGTTTTCGACGGTGTAATTACCAGTAGACAGTGGAGAAGACGTACCATAAACCTACCCCTAGGCGAGCCGACCAATCTCTCTGATAACAGCAGCTAAACCGATTACTTACGAGAAGTTTTTTTTTTTTTACAATTAACGGCTATTTGATACCTCAGCACTAAATTAACTGCTATTTGATACCTCAGCACTAATTTAAAGGCTATTTGATACCTCAGCACTAAATTAACTGCTAATTGATACCTCAGCACTAAATTAACTGCTACTTGATACCTCAGCATTAAATTAACTGCTAATTGATACCTCAGCACTAAATTAACGGCTATTTGATACCTCAGCACTAATTTAAAGGCTATTTGATACCTCAGCACTAAATTAACTGCTACTTGATACCTCAGCACTAAATTAACGGCTATTTGATACCTCAGCACTAATTTAAAGGCTACTTGATACCTCAGCATTAAATTAACTGCTAATTGATACCTCAGCACTAAATTAACTGCTACTTGATACCTCAGCATTAAATTAACTGCTAATTGATACCTCAGCACTAATTTAAAGGCTATTTGATACCTCAGCACTAATTTAAAGGCTATTTGATACCTCAGCACTAAATGAACTACTATTTGATACCTTAGAACTAAATTAACTGCTAATTGATACATCAACAGTAAAATACCCCAATTAGCAAAAACTTCAGACAATTACATGAACTGCGGCTCTTCATATGAGGGTTACAAGATCAAAAACACAAAAATGTTACAACAAGCAATAACAGGTGTCGGGGAACCTCGCGACAAGTGAAACGGATAGAATAGAACAATGACAACAGACAAAGAGAACTATAATAACAGATGCAACACGCTAAGGAGAACAGAGGAACAGGTACAATAGGTAAAGGAACATACATGAGAACAGGTAAAACAGGTAGTGTGTGTGTGTGTGTGTGTGTGTGTCTGTGTGTGTGTGTGTGTGTGTGTGTGTGTTTTAGCATTAGCCTCACTAGGTCCCCGTGTTTAAAATAATGATATTTACTTAAACAGTTTTTAATTAATATTATTAAAAAGTAGATTTTAAATGCGGACCCAACTTCACTATATCACGCTGACCCGATTTTAAAAGATTGGGTCACCGGATGACTTGAGAATATCTTTATGAAAATCATCAAAATCACTCGCCATGAAGTGATCTACGTTGGCTCATACGGTATGACCCAATGCAGTGTTGCCTAAAATTCCCCAAATCCAGAGGCAAAAATTCCCCATTTCTTATATTTCTCTCTTAATATTTCAGTGAAAATCGATAATTCATGAAATGGTAAAAAGCTTACGGGAATAGTAAATATAAAATACGAGTATAATCAAACAATTCATATATATATACTGTATATATATATTAGCAAATTATTTATATATATAGCCTAAAAATACATTTAAGGGTGAATTTTATAGAAAGATTAAGATGCTAATAAACAGAAGAAATGTAAAATAATAATGCAAACTTTTTTCCTTTGGGCCGAGTTACATTTCAATATTACATCAATACAAAACCTTCACTGCATTAGTCAGATTCACTTGCATTATACATATGAGTTCATCTTTTTCAATAGCGAGAGAGAGAGAGTTATCACGGACAATAGCTAGTATACTGTCTCCACTCTACGTGTTCCTCTCAGATACACAGCCTCAGGGCACGATACAGTATTTCAAAATATCAATTTGAAGAAACTATGATTATTCCATCTCTGGATTTTTCCCGAGTAGTTCTGGCGCTGCGATAACATACAGAGTGCTTTAGCGACGGGCCTAAGAGAGGATAGAAGTTTAATTGAAATTTTAATTAGAACTTAAACTGGTATCGATCACTGATGCGTAGAGGGCGAGATTTTTTGTTTTAGAGAGTTGTTATGGCATGGTGGTGTGTGTGTGTGTGTGTGTGTGTGTGTGTGTGTGTGTGTGTGTGTGTGTTTGTTTGTGTGTGTGTGTGTGTGTCATTTTAAGCCTTCCATTGTGGTGGGGTACTAAAGAAGCATTACATATAGTGTGTCTGGTGGGTACGTGAGTGTTATGTAGCCGTGTGTTGGTACAGTACGTGTGTGAGTGTTGTACTTTAGTGCGTCGGGTTGTGATGGTTCTGTATTAATTACAATGTGTAAGGTTGTGACTGTGTGTTGTGGTTCGGAATATTTCAGACACGGGTCAGCCACCATCCTGACGGCAGACGAGGGCGAAGGGGACCTGTACAACGCCTCCGTCTCTCTAGAAGGTCGCCAACTGCTGGAGGTGGACAAACAGGAGGGTGTCCACGTCGGAGGCTCGCCGGAGTATATGGGCGTCAGCGTTTTCAAGATCCACGGCGACTACCACGACGGTAAGACCACCACAGCCTGTCGGGGATCATTATCGGCCACAGCTTGTTAATATAATCCCTGATGCATTATGTTTGTGTTTGTAGGACTCTCTTTTTCTTGTTCTCTTCAGTCTTTTTCTTTCTTTTTCTGTTAATTTCCTTCATACTATTAGTATTTTTGCTCCTTGTTCTTCTTCATCTTCCTTATTCATTCCTTTATTTTTCTCTCTTCTCCTCCTTCTTCTTATTAACGTTTCTTCGTAAATAAACTGAAACATGTTTTACCCTCGACAAGGTCTAAGTCACATTGCATAGGAACTAAACATACTCCTGACTCTCATTACCCTTTATCATGTCTTCTTACGGTTGTCGCTGCCGCTAGAGACCTGACAGAAATACTCTCCTCAGGATATATTTCCTCCCTGTGCTTTCTAATACCTAGTTCGGGTCTGTGAGTACACCTGAGCTCTTGAGGGGAAAGGGATGAGATATAAATGGCGATAGCAGGGGAAGAGGAGGAGGAAGCGAGGAAGGGTATGGACGGGGAGAAGGGGGAAGAGGCGAGGAAGGGTATGGACGGGAGGGAGGAGGAGGAGAGGAAGGGTATGGAAGGAAGGAGAAGGAGGAGGAAGGGAGGGTATGGAAGGGAAAGGGAAGGAAATTAGGGGGCGTTCTTGCTGGTTTAGTCAGTGCCTAATACTTCTCTCTCTTTTCTTAGGTCGATATACCAGAACTGTTATTGCATCTGGAGATATATTTCACGCAGCCAATTCTTGTCGCTTCCCTCAGAATATATAGAGAGACAGTTAGCAGGTAGTGAATGTGGTGGCAGGTGGTATTGCTGGTGATGGTGGTAGGTAGTGGTAGAGGGGGAAACAAGTGGTGGTGGTTACAGGTATTTGGTGGTGAGGGCAGGTGGTGGAGGGAGGAGCAGGTGGTGGAGGTGGTGGTAGCAATGGTAGAGGGCGATAGTTGAGGGTAGTTGCAGTTAGTGATAATGGTGATAGAGCAAGCGATTGACACCCAAACCGCGTTGTGGGTGACCGTACGGAAAATATTTTATTTCAAAAGTTTATTACCTCACCCGGTGTAGCTAGATTGACCTGCCTTTCCCAGGTGCCTCGGCTAACCATTCTATCCCGGGGAGAAACTTCACAAAATAATGACTTTTTAACATAAGAGAGTAAGGTCCGACATATTAACATGAACTACACTAAATACAACGAATACGGATAAATTTGGTTCTATTGTCCAATGCTAACCAAAAGAGACGAGGTTAATGGTACTTATCTCGGAGCAAATACTTATCCCTTAAACATATTATATGAGGAGAGAGATCAGGAGAGTCTAGGTCATACAGAGGGCACATTGATAATAAAGGTCAAAATATGAACAAGAGTTTAATGAGGATTTGGTAAAGATAACACAAAGCCGCCACTAGGGGGCTGAGGAAACTTTAAATTAGGCAAAACTGAGACTTTGAAACACGCTCCGGGGTCTACCCAGAGAACAACCGAAGTCCTGACCAGAAATAGAGAGAACTATGACGATTAAACGAAGAAAAAATGTAAAAGAGAAAGTAAAAAATCTAATTTATTTCCTATTTGCGTGTCCGTTTGTTTGACTATGCGCACGCATTCGTGTTTGTGTGTGTAAGCTGGCGGGTGCTTGTGTGTGAATACTGATATTTTGAAACATGTCAATCATTGTTCATATACAGACTTGTATTTGTTTTCATGTTTACAAATGTGTACATCTTTAATTATATATACTTTACAGAACCCAATTACATTCACTATCCCTGAAATCCCATCCTTCCCTCCTACAGGGTGTATCGACGACGTGAGGATCTCTGGTAAGAGTGTGCCTCTACCGCCTGCGGTCAACAGCACAGCGTGGGGCCAGGCCAGCATGTTTAAGAGTGTGGAGAGAGGGTGCGGTGCCCCCTCTGCCTGCACCAATGTCTCCTGCAGAGCGCCCCTCACCTGCGTCGATACCTGGAGGTCCTACCACTGCGGGTGAGTCCTCCTGTACCTCTACCCCCCAAACTCACATCTAACTCTACACAATTACCTTACAATCATCTCTACTCCACTAACTCATCAATAACGTTTTGTGAGTTTTTTTAGACAACTGTCATTTCTAAAGACTGTTAAAACGTTCTTTATTTCTCAAAAATGCAGTAAAATAACATACCTTTCCCAACTTCTTATTACACCCATACATGTCCTTCACTACTTGCATTCATGGTGATAAATGTCCAGCACCCTAGGACACTTTTTTCCAATGCCTGATATTTGTCATCCACTTCCTTACAGTTCAAGTGAAAAAACAAATCCCCTTAACTCTTCTAAATGACAATTACAATATCTTACACTTCTTTACTTTAACTCAGTCACGTCTTTCGTAATGTTAACTTAGCGATACGTACATAGCCTGTCATTAACGTCGTGGTAACTCCTCAAGCTGGTCAACCCCATCCTACCTGGCTCGTAATTAACCACCTTTCACCCGCGTCCAATTATCTCCTAAACTCGCCATATTTATCAGTAATTAGCGCCATCATTATTATATGTATTTGGAATGATTATGGAGGAGGTCTATCCAATCATCTGAGAAGGTATTTAATGCTACTGAAGTTAGTAATTGAGGAGAGGAGAGGAGAGGAGAGGAGAGGAGAGAACAATAAAATCAATACGAGGAGGTTTATGTGACTAAGAATACTAAGAACTAAGAACTAACACTAGGGAAATTAGTTACAATGTACACAACAGCCAGAACTAGTAGAAGGCTATCCAGAGGACACAGAACACTAGAGCCTTAGCCAGTATAGTGGCCAATGATGTTAAGTCTAGCCTGGCATTTCCTGGTTGTCGCAGCCGTCGGATAAGAGATATCTACGACTCGCCCTCCGCTACAGCCGCCACGAGCCAGACAAAAACGACCCCACTAACACAGAGCTACGAGGAGCGTCCGTACAAGACCTACTCTACGACCTCAAGTTATTTCCCTGTCAGAAACAACTTTTCCGCACAAGATTTTACGACCCCACCCCAAAGGATTTTCCCAGTACTGCAGTTGTGTTCGTTTACTTTCGACGACCCCTAATAGAGGTTGTACCGAATGACGTCATAAAAAAAAAAAGCCTGTGATAGTGAAATCTGGTTCTCAAAGTCCGTAGACTTTTTCATGAGTTTTACACGACGAACTGATAATTTAGAAAGCTATATTTTTTTACCATAAGAAATGTAATTAGTTGGTTTAAGGGCATCATTACACAGGTATATGACAAGCAATACAAAGGAGCGTGGTATTATGTACTCTTATTTGCATCCTTATGTGCATATTGAGTACGATGGCATTAACCTTAAAGTACAAGGACATTACAACCATCGTACTCCAGGGTTAAGATCATCGTACTCAAGAGGTTATGGTAAATGTACTCAAAGGGTTAAGGTCATCGTACTCAAGAAGACACATAACGGTGAGTACTGAGAGCTAACCCTGTGCGCGATAGTTCTAAATGGTGTGACGTGTGAGCGCCGTATGGGGGTCACCTGTAATACCCTGAGTAGTAATGGCCTCACCTGTTAACACACACACAAACACACGTTCCTGACTTCACCTCATCCATTCATTCCCTCTACTATCTCTTAAACACATTCAGCGTGATGTGAATAACCCAAGAGATGAATAACTCAAGACCATACATAACACACACACACGAAACACTGACGAAGCCAAACGACTTCCTATTAGATGGAGGAGAATTTAGTGGTGTTGACTCTCATCTGAATATCAAGTATGGGATAAATAAATAAACAAATGCTCAAATAAGGAGATAGAACAGACAAAGGCGTAATAAAACAGTGATTAAGTGTAAATTGAATGAATTAGTAATTAATGGAAAAAAATATAGAGATTATGTAAATTTGCACTTTTTTTTTTACACTTCAGATGTAAATTAGATAAACGAATAAATATCCAATTATTTAAACAATATGTATAAATAAGTAAAATAAATATAAGACATGATAAAAATAATTTCCTTGGTAAATTTCATAGGAATTAGAGGATTTTCTCTATTCCAAATACTTCAGGTGCCAATAAAATAGAAAAAAAAATAAACGAAAATGAATGAACATATCCGAACTTACTGCAGAAATCTCATGTACAGTCGCTAAAACAACTATCTGTGTATACTTTGTGGGAAACAATATGAGACCATGGACGATAAATTTTGGTACATGAGGGCTGTCACTAGTCACATGTAAAATTTCGGAGCATATTGACCCCCACCTGCACAGATAGTTGTTTGAGCTACTGTACATTCAATAAAAAAAAGTATCAACTCCCCTACCGTACGTAACGATATGAAACATGGCGCAAAAACTGTCAACATTTATCTGTAGTCAATTGGTTATAATCACTCATTCACTTATTGTACTGAGTTTACTTCCCTGACCTCGACGTGTATAGAACCCGTGTGGCATAGAAAGATAAGATGATAAACAAAATATTAAAATTGATGTCATTATTTATGTCCTGATATTGATAACAGTGAAGTGATGATGATAATATTTGGGGGATAGTTAAGTCACTGAGGATAAAGGTTATCTTTGATGATGATGATGATGATGATGATGATGATGATGATAATAAATGATGATGATGAGGGTGATTATTATTATGATGATGATGATGATGATGATGATGATGATGATGATAATAAATGATGATGATGAGGGTGATTATTATGATGATGATGATGATGATGATGATGATGATGATGACGACATTAAGGGAAAGTGAGATCAAAAGTTGTTATCGAATTAAAACACAAAATAGAAGCTACCAAAAAGACTAAACGGAGTTAAGTAAGGGACACAGTGGTCAATTTCTAAGAGATATGAGGTCAAAGGTGAATCTGACAGTAATAAAACTTTAACAAAATTGCTGTAAAAATTTATAGACACATCCTATCAAGCTCCTATGTCCTTGACCTCATGACCAATATGTATAAAATCTATATCATGGTTAGAATTCAAGCTACACAGGGTCTAAGAGGAGGTCGTAGAGTCAGATATAGATTTTGAATTTGATTAACATGAACGATATCAAAAGAATTAGAAATCGTAATAAAAGATGGGGATAAAATTCAATCTCTCTCTCTCTCTCTTTCTCAACTCTTTTATTCTCAAAACTTGTTAAATTACTATAAATATTTCTTTACGAGGAACTATGTAATAATCCCAACCAGGTTTAAAAATTGGTCATAAAATTCTCCTCCTGACAATTCAATTCCCCAAGACTAATTCTCAAATAAAATAAAAAATTGACACAGTTAATAACGAGCTTAGTGAGGTATTAAATGATAATATCCTGTAAAATAAAATATTTATAAAAAATAAAAATAAAAGAAATATTATTTTTCCGCTAATAATTACTTCTTCTTTCTAAACATAATGCTAAGTTGAACAGGAAAACATTCATATCGGAAATTGTAACTGATAATCGTATTGACACTTAGCAACCTGACATAAAACTCTATCTCTCTATTGCCTACTTTCTCTCATCCCTAAAATTAAAGAGAACAAATGACTGAAGTAGTTCTCTCTCTCTCTCTCTCTCTCTCTCTCTCTCTCTCTCTCTCTCTCTACGTTGACTGAACCGTTAACCCTATAATTCTATCACCTATTTTATCTCTTACTAACTGTACCTATCTTCCTCTCCTTACTAATTCTATATTCAACGTAAAAGAAAGAAAAAAAAAGATAGAAAAAATGCTTGAATCCGATTACCTCCACTCGACTCTCTCTCCTCCCTCGCAATTGATTTTAAAATATGGAAAATTGTGACCGAATGACCGTCTTTATTTAAGCTGTTCCTAAGGGATCCAAAAGCGCTAGTGTGACGGTTGGAGTAATGTTATGGCGTAAATGTGACGTACCCTCTTTGGTTATGACGCAAATGTGACGCACGTTGTTAGGTTATAAAATAAACATACCAACTTTTATCAGACGTAATGCGTTTTATTTCAACATTTTGACAAACACAGTCTAATAATCATAAGTGTGTGTGTGTCATAATTTTATACGCATTGCTGTGACGTAAGTATGGCGTAATAATTTCACTGGTGTAGATGTGACATATTGTTGTTTTGACGTGATGAAATGCTGACGTAAACTGATGAAATGCGACGGGAAATATTTACTTCTAGCAGGAAGGTGACTTACAGTTCTGACCTAAAAATGATTTAAGAGAGTTAAGTTGGAACGCAAATCAGACGTAGGTGTTATGTTGACGTAAATACGCCATAAGCTTTATGACGTCATTGTTGTATTATGACATGGAAGTTGCTGTAAGATGTACAGGAAGTGTTTTGTTTTGAAGTATGTGTTCTGTTGTGCCGTTTTTTCTGTTGTAACACGTGTGTTCTATTGAGACGATTGTGCTATGTTGTGACGTCTGTGGTTTTGTCACACATATACTCTATTGTGACGTAGGTGTGGTGAGGGTCGGGTCCTGTCGTCCTCGAGAACGACCTGTGAGGACGAGAACGAGTGCCTGTGGGAGCCTTGCCTCAACGGCGGCACCTGCTTCAACAAACACTCAGGTAACTCACAGGTGTAGTCGGCAGGTGAATACACTAATGTGAAAAAAAAAATTACAAATACAGAATACAGAAATTTACACGAACATACTCACACACCTTCATACACCCATCTACTACTTTATTAAATGTTTAACTTCTGGTTGTGTACATCAGCTGGGTATGCGTGTGCGTGTCCTAGTGGGTTCAGCGGCCAGCACTGTCACCTGCCAGACGTGGGGGAGACATCACTGAAACTCTCCCTGGGGGCGCTGGTGGCCATACTCGTCTGGTGCACATTCCTTTTACGTAAGTACTGTATTTATATTTCTTCGTGTGTTTTGATTATGGGGCAAGAAATCTAAATCTTAATGTCCCTCGAAAATTATATGTATAAAGATTTTGATTTGCAACAGAGGCGACCTAGAACTGGACATTAACTATGCATGTATAGAGTACCTCTCCATCACACTACCAGGCAAACTGACTAAGTGTTGGAAGAGGAGAGGGTGTGCGGCACAAGGAACAGTATACAGTCCTGGTCACCGACAGAGCAAAAGATTCCCTGTAGATCTGTCTATCAGTACCTCACAAAAGACCTTCCTCAGCATTACTAACACAAATAATCCTTAATTTAACATCAATGTAAATTAAACTTACAATGAGTAAAGGGATAATTAAAAACATAAAGAAAAAAAAACAACGGCAGTAAAGGATAATAACACACACGCCTCAAACACTATAATAAAAATCATCATTAGAAAACAGCCACGACATTTAGATGAAACTCAACCCTGGAAAAAATGGAGAGGAATTGTGAAATGAAATAAGTGAGTCTTAAATATATTCCTGGAATGAAAAACGTTCTCCCAAGTCTTCCAAATTTTATGTTATCCAATTCCTAGATGTCATTGTCATTCCTCAGTCATATGTTTATTTTTATTATCATTTATCTTTACTGTCGTTATCATCTACCCATCGCCAATTATCACTCATCACTACAAATTATCACAATATCTAATTTATCGTTATCATATATGACTGTAAAGAATCACCGCCATTCGTCACTGTTACGTATCACCGTCACATATCAGCCTGTCAATCACTAACGTCACATCTCCACAAAGACTGACATACAGGCGGTGACAACTCTTTCTGTCTCTCACGTTTCCAGTACTGATCTGCGCCTTCCTGCTCCACCAACACCACAGGCGGTCTGCTTTACGTCGAGGAATGGCCGATGTCAAAGAGAATACTATGAATTGTAAAGAGGAATCATCGACGCCCTGCAACCACACGCCGAGCTTGTTGGAATTGAAGCTGCTCAAACCCCCTAAAGCAAATGGTCAACCGGCCTGGACAAAGAATCCCAACATCGCTGGTAAGGCACCCCACCCCACCTCACCCCATCCCACCCCACTCCACTCCACCACACCCCACATCACCCCACCCCACCCCACTCCACTCCACCCCACCCCACCCCACATCACCCACCCCATTGCACATCACCCCACCCCCCCTCCCCCAGCCCCAGGACCAAATCACATTGGACAAAATCATTACCCTTTTCTCTATTTACCTGTCATTTACCTGTGATTTACTTCATTAATTACTTCTTTTCACTAATCACGTACCTCCACATTAACCAGTCATTGAGCAGTGGACAGAATTTTCCTCTTTTAACTTTATTTACCTCCCCATTTACACCATTAACCTCATTATTTACTTCATTAACTTTTTCGTTTACCTCCACATTTAGTTCTCATAAAAATCCCCATCAGCCAATGGTCATAAAACGCTGGTCGCTCGATTATATAATAACAGTATACCACCCATTGGAGCCATTTCTATAACGCGATAAAGGTTGCTATATTGTTTTCTTACTTAACACCGACCAATACACGATTTTTTCACCAAACCGCCAGTGTTAATGGCCACACCACAGTAACTCATATAATTTAGCAATATGGACCACTTGACAGCAGAACTACTCTGCCGGTAGCGGTTCACTAAAGTATAAATTGACGCATTTAGTGTTTTGAAAATAAACTCATTTCATAATCGTCTTGGTTTCTTCCTTCCCGGAACCATTAAAGGTAACAAATAAAAAGAATAAAATAGTTCCAGCAACGTATCTAAATTCCAACAATCCTCCCACTAAAAATACAAAGATTAATTGTGAATGTAATCAATACGTCACACACAGCCATTACCTGTACTTATATTCCAAAAACAATGTAACTGGTAGGAGCGGTGGGATATGTGGGGATAACAAGGCCACCGAGTAGAACAGAGGAGTTGTGGAGAGTAAAGATGAAAACATATATCAAAATGTCTTAAAGTAAATAACGCTTCTGGATATGTTCTCCCGACGCAGATGTGGACGTACTGCAGGTGGACGCCGCCTCCGTCACCAGCAGCACTGAGGAACAGAAACGGGGAGGTGTAGCGAGTGGTGGAGGTGCCGGACACAGGCGCAAGGGTAGTGCCAGCGCTGACGAAAGGAATGGAGGAAGCAAGAACGGAGCGAGTCGGGGAGGGATTGGCAACTCTCCCGCCGGTGACGACCTGAGAAACTACGCTTACGAAGGTGAAGGATCTTCCCCTGGATCACTCTCTTCTTGTAAGTCCCGCAGGAGGAGGGAAGGGAAGAGTGCTGATAAACTTTCCCTTAAGAAACTCTCCTATTATAAGTTTAGGGAGGGAAGGGAGGAAGGAGGTAGATAGGGAACTTTCCCCTGCTCTCTCTCCTGCAGGTCTACCCGGAAGGGAGGGAATCACAAAAATACAATTAATTCTATATATAGAAACCTCGTTTATTAAATTCAGTGAGAAAGGGAGGAGTGAAAAAAAAATATATATGGGTTCGTAGCTGTTGTCCGGTTGTGTTCATCTGTGTGCCGCGGGAGAGGACGGTGGAAGGTCAACACGGGGAAGAGTAGTGAAGGAGGAAACTGAAAACACTTGATGTTACCCTAAAGAGGAGGGGAAGGAAGGTGCTGTATACAACGTTTCCTCGAAAAACCTTAAAACAAAATAAATACCAAAGTTGAAGAAATATTGTTAAGAATACTCTCATCTTGTAGCTCTACTGGTGTAAGGTCCCAGGTTAGCCCCTCCCCCCCCCCCCCTTAAACTATACCCGGGAAGATTCTGGGAGCTCGCAGAGTCTACCCTGAGGTATAATCCAGAAACTACCCCGGGGTAAATTGTAGAGGCCTGAGAATCTATCCGACTAAATTCTGGGAAGGGGTACATTTTCAAACATTTCGCCGTGTGTGTGTGTGTGTGTGCATTACAAGGAGTTAATTAGTTACCCATTTCGCTGTCATCCCTTAAATATACTGGGGAAGGCAGAGAAATTATTAAAACTTGTCTCTTCTTGGTTTAAGAGTAGAGGATAAAGATGATGCTTAACACACACAACACTTTAAGAACAGTCTTCATCTCGCGCGTCATTAATGAGGATCTCTGGACAGTATCTAATCATGCATTTGTATAAACAGTTGATATTACATAAAAAATTCCAAAATCTTCTTCGTGGACTAATCTATAGAGTGCATCGATTTAAACTTGAAGTGACGAAAAACCATATCCGTTACCATAACACCAAATTTTTTCTTACACCTATTTCAGGTTTGGAAAGTTGTAGTGGCAGTGCCAAGCTATTGGGAGGATTCCGCGAGGTGGCCCACATGCTGGAGTCGTGGGACCCTACAGGCTCACACTCCAACCAGTCGCCTACAACCACAACTAAAACCAACGGAGCCAAAGACACAGCCCCGCCGATCAAAACCATCCTCTGCGACATACACGCGACGAGTGGCCCAGACGGCGACGGGGTCACACACACAGCATACCCAGATCCACTGCCTCCACCAATCACAGACGGGCTTGGGACAACGATTCTCCCTGAACCTATGGCCACACCCATACCCATGCCCATACCCGAACCGCCCCGTGCCTTCAAGACCAAATAAGTGGCTTTCGTCGACAAAGTTGACTTGCGACATAATTCACTTGAGCGTATCCTCAGCTAGTTACATTCCCCCTCACCATATCAACTGATTTTCTTTTTTTTATTCGTATTTTCCTTATTCTTAGTTTAGCGGCGGTGTGAGTTGTGAACTTAATTTGATCCAAGTAAGAGTATTTATTGAGATTTTGCTCTCTCTCTCTCTCTCTCTCTCTCTCTCTCTCTCTCTCTCTCTCTTCACATTATTACCATAACTACCACAGCACATGACAAACAGTAGTTAATTTGTATGGATGATCCTCTTTTTATAATCACCTGAATTATTACATTGTGCTGTAAACTTGCTTTGAGAGTCTCCGGTGTGACCAGAACGTCTGAGTATCTTTTATTCTGTACATACAAAAACAAAAACAAAAAAAGTTTCAGTGTGTGATGGGAGTTATTTGCGTCCAAAGCTCACTTATAAAATACCGTTCAATAATAATAATAATAACAATAAACAAAAGGAATATTTAACCTTCTATAATAATGTTGATGAATGATGTTGTTGTTTGTGTAAAAAAAAAAATTATAAAATAAATAAAAATTATTAGTAATAGATAAGAAAAAACACGAAAGCTAGAATCAAAGTTGAGAAATCATAGCCTGAAGAAGCCATCCGCGCCCTCGTCTCAATGTCTCGTAGGAAAATAATGTCCCGTAGGCAAATAAGGTTAAAGTTACATACAGGTATTAAATCCACGAAAAAACTATGTACCAGCAACCACCTCTAGTATAACAATAACCTGTAATAGCGACCACCTATTTCTGACGTTGACTTCTCCCAGTGGTCACCTCCATATAACAAACATTATTTATTCCAGCAGTCACCTCTGTATAACGAAGACCTCCCCACTTCATCCCCTAACAGACACCTCCGTAATGCATTGGACTCCACCAGCAGTAGTTACGTCAATATAACGTTGACCTGAGATAATGATGACCTCTTTATAGCGATCACCTCTGTACAGCTTTTATAATTATTAGCGTTAGCCTCTTACACGTACTTGACCAATATTAGGAGCCTGGCACCTCCTCAAACGTTATCCTGGCCACGTTGACCTCTGGCAGCGAACACCCCCGTATAGCATTAACCAGTAACAGCGGCTACCTTCATATGGCTTTCACTAACAGGAAACGTCGTTATATAGCGTTAACCACCACCACCAGCGACCACTTCTGTATAATAATAATAATAACCACTAACGATGACCAACTCTATATAGTGTTAACCAGTATTAGAAAACACGTCTATGTAACATCCACTATGAGCACAACTATACCGGTACACAGCGTTTAAGCGGTCGTCACTGTATAACGTTTACCTTTCCCAGCGACCATCCCAATACAACTTTAGCCTAAAAACAACGACCGAGTTTGTTCAGCGATGGTCAATTTATTTCGGTCGATCTATATACAGTATACGTTAACAAATACTAACACTTATATTTATGTTATAAAAATCTTCTCTTACCGCAGATTGGGAGAGAAGAGGCAAGATGTATGTACAATCAAAGACAAAAGTTGTGTCGTGGTTTTGTCCGAAGATTAAATATAACTCGTGAAACATTATGAGAGCCCTACCACAAGGCGGAGCGCACCAAAAGTTTAGCTCTTCGGCGTATGTTTTCACCAAATTTCACGACACGACTTTTGTCTTTTATTGTACGTAGTGTTCCCATCATGACGTGTGTGCTGTCGTAATAAAGTTATTTGGCTAACAAAATAATGGCAAACGGTAGAGGGTGACGCTAAAGAAAATCGAGGATGGCAATAATGATGAAGTTGTGGTACTGTACATACAAAACGGTCGTAAGCAATTATTTACACACACACACACACACACACACATATATATATATATATATATATATATATATATATATATAGTATCTTGTACCCAAAAGTGAGTATACAGGCCATTATATGAGAAAACGCCTGCCATAGTGTGATACCAATTAGGGCTTCTGCCGCAGGACCCTTAAAAGAGTGAGTAACCTGATACATATACTGCTGTAACCACGTCGATACAGCGGAGGCGTCACCTGCTTGACGACCCAGTACAGGTATTCTAGTGTTCCCAAAACGCTATATAATGACATTTTCCTCAGGCATGAGAAGCCGAAGGTTAACGAAGTTTGCCCAGACACAGGTTAAGGAAATTTTGTATAAGGTGTAGAGAAACACAGGCAAGAAAATTTAAAGGGAATGAGTTCTTATCGACACTCTAGTTGAGGTCTTGGTGAAAGTCTCGGTAAGATCTTTAGGAAATCTTCGTCAGATTATGATGAGGGTGTGGCGAGGTGTTGACGAGATCATCGTTAAGGTCTCGTAAAGATCTTGTTGAGATCATCGTCATATCAAAGCAAGGTCTTTACGAGATCTTCGTCAGGCCCCGTATAGGTCTTGACGACATCTTCGTCAGGCCCCGTATAGTTCTTAGCGAGATCTTCGTCAGGCCCCGTATAGTTTTTAGCGAGATCTTCGTCAGACCCCGTATAGGTCTTGGCGAGATACAGAGGTCGGAGATGAGGCGCCGGTCTGGCATCTGACGGCGATGATTTTGTATTTTTATAAAATTTATATGACAAATAAATGATGATGTTGTTATTAGGTTTTTCATTACCCTCACAAGTTGTTATGTAACCATAGTGTGTGTCATGGTGGTGTTATGTGACCATAGTGTGTGGCATGATGGTGTTATGGTGTTACGTGACCATAGTGTGTGTTATGGTGGTGTTATGTAACCATAGTGTGTCTCATGGTGATGTTATGTGACCATAGTGTGTGTTAAGGTGGTGTTATGTGACCATAGTGTGTGTCCTGGTGGTGTTATGTGACCATAGTGTGTGTCCTGGTGGTGTTATGTGACCATAGTGTGTGTCCTGGTGGTGTTATATAACCATAGTGTGTGCTGGTGGTGTTATGTGATCATAGTGTGTGTCCTGGTGGTGTTATGTGACCACAGTGTGTGTCCTGGTGGTGTTATGTGACCATAGTGTGTCTCATGGTGGGATTTGATTGTGACCATTCGTGGAACATTGCTACAGATTTTCAATAAAATAAAGCTTGTATATAATTTTTAAGTACTCGTAGTTTGAGATCTGAAAAATTTGTGGAAGGAAGGACGGGTGGATGGACGGGTGGATGGACGGACGGGTGGATGGACGGACGGGTGGATGGACGGACGGACGGAGGGATGGATAGGTGGACGGACGGAGGGATGGATAGGTGGACGGACGGAAAGCCTGACGACGACGACAAACGACCGACCACAGCAACAGCCCATCGAGATAGACTAAAAAATAAATAAAAAAGAAAACAAATAAATAAATAACAAAATCTCAGCCATATCTTGAAAAAACAAATGAATGAAACGTCGCCATAAGGAGCAATCAACACTGTGGCGTCCCTCTTCCCGCTACCAGACGAGCAGTTAGTTGTCAGCCTATAGTGGCGCTCTTCATGTTACGAGTAGAGGAGAGCTTGATCCTCGTGGGGCCGGAACCATGGGGTAGAAAACACTGAGAAATATGAGAAGAAAATCCTATTCCATAACTGAGAAACGTGAAATATTATTAAAGAAACGACAATAACATAAGAGTGTAGTGTAGTGTAGTAAGATTATCAAGGAAACAAAATCATACTACTGTATAGACTAATTAAGAGGATACGTAAGATCTTTTAACACGGAGAGATGATAAATTAGCTGAGTAACTCCTCCCACCCCATAACATGCAAGTGGTGAGCTCTGGGGTGTAGAGCGCTGAGGAGAGTAAGTACATTGTTTGGTGATCAATCTGAGTTGAATTGCCGCCGCGCCGCTGGAAGGAAATCACGTATTGCCCTAGCCAGTGAATTGAGGCGGGTTGCTCTCTCTCTCTCTCTCTCTCTCTCTCTCGACAAATTTCCCCTGACTTCTCTTCCACAACAAAATGGTCCTTCTCGCCAACCTTCCGCTCGCCCCCCCGTTCCACTCACTGACCCGCCTCCCCTGGTTGTAGATGACGCATACAGTAAGTGTGTATCATATAATCCAACGACAAAATCATGCAGGAAAGCGCACAGTGAGAGGGAGAGTAAACAACGAGGGATGGATTATAGCTCCCTCCTCCTCCTAATCAGTCATTTTTTTTTTAATCACTGATGTTAGCTTGGCTGTTCAATCGACTGCGTTACCTCCCTGTTTTTTTATTTTTCTCTCTCATATATTCATTTATCTCGGTGTAGTTGATGTAGTGTAGATTATAGTTAAGATATAGGTAGGTTGGGTTGGGTTGGGTTGGGTTGGGTTGGGTTGGGTTGGGTTGGGTTGGGTTGGGATAATTTAGGTATGGTTAGGTTAAAATTGAACACTGTAACCCGGGTACTTTGGCTAGTCATTATGTAAAGATATGCTTGTCTCTCAGGTGAAGTTTGCGATTAGAATGTTGTAGTGTGATAAATAATGTGAAAGATAATGTAAGAAATTCAAACGCGCCTTTATTGTGACTTCCTTGACCTTCTTGTCTCACCCTTAACATCCTAAATGCACCGTGGCTTCAAATTTGAGTGGTTAGTTTTAATGGTATGTTTCAACCTAAGTTTCATGATGATGGTTAACAAGATGGAGATGGTTAGGATGAGGGGTCACACATGTTATTGATCCTTGAAGAGGCGCTGCCGTTGACTATTTGATCTAACTGGTTGTAGAATATTTTCAGTATTCACTCCCATCAGTACCACAAACTTCATCCTTCTACTCCAATCAGACCTTTTAATAGTATGTTCTTCTTTAGGAATGTTCATATATTCACTTTATATTGTATTTCACTGTACTTTGTTGGAAATTTTATCTCACACGGGAAATGAAGGTTTGTCTTTCCGGATGAGAGATCATCTTGCAAAGGTGGAATATCTACGCCTCCTCGCCCAGCGTGTAAGTACAAAGCCCCAGGTCGTGAACCGCTTTCTGGGTGGTTGATTTCATGGGAATGGTACTAAAAAGGGTCACTGAGTAGCCAGGTTAAAGTAAATGCTTAAAAGTGTCTTGTGAGTGTGGGCGAAGTTAGGGCTTGGAGGTAGGTATGTAAAATTAGTCATATTTTACGAGTAACCGCTCTTAAAAATATTCACGTCGATGTCGCAAGAAAAACTCAAGAGAGAGTTGCCTGAAGCTATAGGTTTTGGGACTGTCGGTAACGCATAATCGCCAGGTAACGTTGTCTCCTCTCCCCATTAGTTATGAATAATACATCATGCATAGCTACAATAGTGATCCTGAAGCGATACTTAAACCATTACAACGGTTTAGTCTTTATAATTGAATGCATGTATGTTTGTTATTATATTTAAATGTATCACAAATAAATTTCAAACCCTAATGGGAAAACTTTATAGAGTCAATTCAATTTTACAAGCAACATACTGTATATCCTCAGTATGGAAGAAAATGAGAACTCTCTCCCGGAAATATAACCTAAAAGAAGCAGAGGAGACACACACACACAAACACACACACACACACACACACACACACACACACACACACACATACAGGCGTCATCTACTAGAGTAGTGCATCTTCGTGTTTGTAATTAGTCTGTCCTTATCGTCTCATCTTTTGGTAATTAAAGATTGGTTGTTGAGTCTCGGCGTCAGGCAGGAAAGATTTGGGGTAATTAACAAAAGCAATTATGTCCCTGTGTAACTGTCTGACTGTGGAAAGTCCTCAACTACTATCATGTGGCTTCTGAGACGTGGGTTCGAGGTTTCACAAAGTATTCAGGATTCCTTGTCAAGTGTTGAGTTTCAGAGGGATTCTTTAATAGTATCGTTGAACATACACGAATGTCAGTAACTGTTTTGTCTTTTTATATAACATCACTATCTGTAGCATGAAGCACTGGCTGAAAACTTGAAAACGAGGGAAATAGTAACACAAATACACTGTGTTGGCTGATGATATTTGAGTTGCTGCGGATAAAGTCGTAAGATGAAAAGAGAACCAAAGAGAGACAGAGAGAAACCAAAAGAAAGAGAAGAAAATAAAAGCGAGAGAGAGAGAGAATTGAGGAGGAAAGTCAGGAGAATGCTTCGTAGTATTTATCACAGTAAATTGAATCAGGTAAGGCCGTGAGAGCCAGGCTGGATGTTAAAGATTTATCGTGTTGCTGGTGACACCCACTCAACCACACACGCTCAACACCAACCCACGAGACTTGGGTAACACTTTTAAAATTAACTTGATTTATAATACTCTATGCCGTCAACATACACGGCTTGGCACTCAAAAGACGTGTAAAATATGTGACCATCAACTTTGCTTAATAAATATTGTCGGGTTTCCATCTGGAGTTTTATATTCAAAGGCTACGTGCTCAGGACAGCCAATGAACGACCGTCACCTGATATACTCTGACAGCTTCCGGGAGATAAAGTGAGACAAACATCCAGAATCTTTATTTAGACAAACACCAAAATACTTAAATTAAATCATAAACAATTGACATGGTATTTTAATATTGGGTGGATAAGAACGCCAGGCGGGTGCTGTTCGGTCGGTCCTGTTAGTACTGAGATTTTTCTACCCCACGACAGAAAGAGAGACGACAGAGAAAGAGACGACAGAGAGACGACAGAAAGAAAGAAAGAGAAAGAAGGGTGTGGTGTTCCAGGAGAGAGAGAGAGAGCGTAATAGGGATTTAGTTTGTCTGATTTTTTTTTTTTTGACCTTTTAAAGGAGTGAGGGAGACAACGTGCTAGCAAGGTTAAGGACAATTAAGGGTTAACTGCATACTCTTGTCTTTATAATGAGAGACACGTATACTGAGAACTATGAAAGAGAGACTATGAGTGAGAGAGAATAGTGCCAGGAGATATACGAAAAC